TTCAGTCATTTTTAACTATCATTTTTGTTTTATCCCTATTTATTTTCAGGCCTGCTACTTCCCCGTAGTTCTCCAGCACTTCCATCAGCCTGAGACCAGATTGTACAGGCTCTTCAATAATAAGTACAAGGTCGTCCGCAAATGCCTGTACCTTACAACTTTCTTTTCTTACTTTTAAACCTTTGATTTGTTTGTCTTCTCAAATTATTCTAATTAAAGCCTCTAATGATAAAATAAAGAGCAGTGGAGATAACGGTCAGCCTTGCCTTGTGCCTTTCTGGATTAAAAAGTTCTTTGTTGTTTCCCCATTTATCACTACTCTAGCCTCTTGTCTAGAGTAGATTGTTTGGAACATCTTTATAAATTTCCCCCCAAAATCCATCTATTTTAATTGTTCTGGTATGAAATCCCATTTGACGTTGTCAAATGCTTTTTGCGCATCAATGAATATCAACGCCATCTATTTCTCATTGTGGACTTCATAATATTCTATCGTATCCAAAATAATCCTAATGTTATTCCTTATATGCCGTCCGGGAAGAAAACCATTTTGATCAGTATGAATAAAATTTTCTAGAATTTTCTTTAATCTATCTGCCATAATTGTCATAAAGATTTTATAATCCAAGTTTAGTAGGGATATCGACCTGTAATTGACAGCGAGATGCATCACACTTAAAGAAGACAATTATGATAAATTAATGGTGCAGATCAGGTCTGATTTGGAAAAATGGGGTTATCTTTAATGGGTAGGATAGCCACTATTAAAATGAATGTTCTTCCGAAAATGTTGTTTCTATTTCAATGTATACCAATTTGGCTCAAAAAGAATTTTTTTACAAATTTGGACAGACTTATTTCAAAATTCATATGGCAAGGGAAACAACCGAGAATTAGATTAAAACTATTATAAGACGCTAGAGAAAGAGGAGGATTTGACCTACCAGACTGGACAAAATACTATCAAGCAGCGGCGTTGGTTTGGCTAAGTGAGTGGATGCATCTCAAAAATACAAGATTACTGGCACTAGAGGGTCATGATTTACAGACAGGGTGGCACGCTATTTTATGAGAAGAAAGACATTTAGCCCAGCAGTACTTCCGGAAGCATTATATTAGGAGAGCATTATTGGATATTTGGAAAAAAATAAAAAGTAATAATTATATGAAAATTCCCAGTTGGGTGTCTACATTAGAAATGTTCATACATCCAAATTTGATGAAACGAGGGGTGCTGCCACCTATAAAGACATTTTGAATGAGAAAGGAGAATTAAAAACGAGAAATACTTTAAAGTATTTAAAGGTGGCGAGGTGGTGCAGCAGTTAGAGTGCAGTACTGCAGCCCACTTTAGCTGACTGTGTTTAGCAGGTCAGCGGTTCAAATCTCACCGGCTCAAGGTTGACTCAGCCTTCCATTATTTCGGGGTAGGTAAAATGAGGACCCAGATTGTTGGGGGCAATGTAAATATATATATACATTGCTTACTGGTGTACACCGCTTAGAGAGTGCTTGCACTTAAAGCGGTATATAAGTCTCATAAATAAATAAATAAATAAATAAATAAATGAAGAAGGAATCGAACTGGAATGGTGAGTGTATCTTCAAATTCAATCCAAATTTAATAAAGACAAAAGGGAACAGGGCATAAAGCAAGAATCTTGAGAATTAGATAAAATTTTATTTAGTAGGGAAGGCAAGACCATAAGTAAATTATATCGATATCTATTACAACAAGATATGATTGAGGAACAGGTGAAAGAAATGATAATTTGGAGTAAATATTTTGGGCACAATATTGATTTGGATAACTGGCAAAGTCTATGGAAAAAAACCTACTTTGGCAACCTCCTATAAGGAAAACCTATATAAGATGTTTTATAGGTGGCACCTCCCTCCCATAAGATTAGCATGAATGAATAAGGGGAAATCCCAATATGTTGGAAGTGTGGAGAGACCATTGGGAATTACTACCATATGTGGTGGAAATGCATGCAGGCACAAAAATTTTGGAATTTATTAAAGAAATGGCTGTAAGAAATCCTGCTAATAGATATAGAGGCCAAACCAGAATTTTTCCTACTGGGAATTATAGAAAGAAAATACAAGAAAGATACAAGTTATTTATTACTGCATATAGTAATGGTGGCACGAATAGCCTTCGCTCAAAAATGGAAAGAGAAAGATATTCCAACCGAAGAGGAAATATTATTGAAAATCCTCAATAGCACAGAAATGGATAGACTCACATTGGAACTCAAGGATAAAAGTGAAACTGAGTACTATTAAATCTGGGAACAATTTTATGATTGGATAGATAATAAGAGGGCAGCCAAGACAAATGTATAGTGTTAGAATAAAATATAGATTATAGACAAATGTATATTTAAAAGAAGAACTATATGTCTATATGAGTACTAATGTTACTGTAAAGTGACGGAAGATGTGTGGAACCAGTGATGTCATATCTATGTCCAATGTGTTTTTAATTTTGTATTATTAATAAAACTTCAATAAAAAATGAGTAAACTTCATAATTAAATTTCATAATGATAAATTCTAATTGTACCAACCTTTGAGCATATATTAATTTAAGTATGATTGCCTCTTCTGTTTCTTACACCAAAAGGAATGTATTACATCTAATGGTTGTTCCTGATTTACCTGTCTTCCAGAATCTCAGGGAATGATCTCCAGGAAGTAAAAACCGGTGTAGCTTCTATTTTCACTTTTCTAGGTTTCACTGGATCATACCAGTAGTGTTATAACTCCAGCGTAACTTATGGCTCAAACATGTAATCTCAGCGTTAAATGCAGTATGGCATCTACAAGAGGAAAAAAAATTTCCAAAGATACAACCATAATTAATTAGCCCAGGGGTGGAATGGAGCAACCCAGTCTTATCTCAAAGACTCCCCCCCATTAACTGTATGACAAATGTTTTGTGGGATTTTGCTTATAATTTATTGACTAAACCTTTTCTTTAACACCCACCCCACCCTGAATTGCAAATGGTAAGGCATCTTCCCCAAAGAAGCATATCCTCTTCTCTCATAATTCAGAGAATTCACATAAAATGACACATAAAGATTGTATGTACTATGTACACAATGCTAATATGCAGTAGTATGTGATTGTTCCAATATTTTTATGAAGGTTGCATTGCCCACAAACCTTTATTTGTTCATCTTCTCAACAGGCATTATTAGACAAAAAAAAACCTGTACTAGGATGAATTAAGAGTTTTTCTTAAACTAGGCAGTGTCTTGAAAATAGTTTGCACTTTTTCTCTTCTTTAAATAGAATGAAGTTTGTCACCATTTTATATGATATTAAGGGAACCAATATTCTTACTAGCATAAACTGTCAGACAAAAAAATGTGAGCTATTTCTTTCTTAATCTGGTTATACACAAATTCTTACAAGCTTTTGTTTTTCAAAGAATAAACTATTGCTGATTGAACTGGATTTAAATTAGGGAATTAAATGGTTTCTGTATTCTTATGAGCACCCTCTGGTGGTGGTTGTTAATTTATTAAGACAGATTCAAAAAGATCTATCCCCCCCATCATACAATTTGACTTGGTGCTGCCTGAAAAGCATGAACAGTATAAAGAGATGGGCCAAGCTCAAGAAGAGGGGAACTACAAATGTCTCCGTCATATTACTTGAAAAGTATTGTTTGCATGTGTATTTGTGAAAGCTGGCATGTTTTCCTTTGCTTAAGCTGTTTAAAGTAGCTGAAAGCATTGCCGTTCAAGAAAACCGGGAACAAAAAGCAACACATTAAAATGTGGGAGGATGGCAGTGCAAGCAGAAGTATCCAGTGTTTCTGTCTGGAAGTCAGAAAATGAGTGTAATGGTATGTGGGTTTGTCCTTGGGAGACAGGGCAAAGACACACAGCCGAGAGAACGGTCAGATAAACAGGAACTGAACACCCAGCAGGAATGTGGGTGAGGCAAGAGGCTCAGAAGAGATTCTCCCTAGTTTCCTGAGCTGTAAAAAAAGGACATTGAAGGAGAGATGTTCTTTCAGACTTAATGTTAATGTAATATTACAATCAAGTAGAAATAGCTCATTTAGTGGTGTCTCCTGTCTGGTTTACTTCATAAGGCTGACATCCAATTTTGCATGTCTCATGCTCTCTTCCAGTGAGAGGAATTTTAGGAATGCCTCCGATCCTCATGGGATTATGCTATCCACTGAGCATTTAGTAGCAAAGTTATTGCAACACCAGCAGCAGGTAGACATAGGGCCAGCCAGCTTGCGGAATGCCATGATAAATTCAGCTGGGACAGAATTTGCTTTAAGTTGCAGCTGCTCAACAACCTGCAAGCTCAGCTGCCTTTTATCTGACTGTATTTTCTTTTCAACCACAGCATTTTTACTCAGAATCCTTACATGTCCACAAGACCAAAGAGAAATATGGTGACTTTTAAGATGGTCATTTGCAATGCCAGTCACATATTTGTACAGTCATTGGTCCTGATTATGCTGCGAGAATGAGAGGGCCTGCTTCTTAATTCTCTACTTGGCTAAGTAACTAGACAGTAGTGATTTATTTTACATACAGCTACTTCAGTTGAACTTGGCTGATTCCATTTCCTTTGATGTGGCAAATGTTTGTTTTATTTTGTAAAATCCAAAATGACTTGGTTGCCTCAATGATGTAGTTAAAATTTTATGATTTTTTAAAAAGATATTTGAATACAAACTGTTTAATTGTTCTATTACCTGGTAAAATTCTGATTAGTGACTATAATAAAGTTTACAGTGAAATAAAATTCTGATTAGTGACTATAATAATAAAATTTTCAGAAGTTACCTATGTTGACAGAAATCAGAATGACGTAAGCGTTATCTTGTCCAAATCTTGTCCAGATTTAGGTTTGTATTTTGTAGCATTATAAACAGAAATGATTGGTTTATTCTTATAACAGCACGTTTTTCAATGTTTCTAAAGAACACTTAGTAAAGAAATGAAAATATCATAGTGCAATTAATGTTTAACCATTTTTATTCAAGTAAGTATGCTCTAATGTTGAGACAAGGCCTAGAATAGCATTACACTGTAATACAATGGTAGTCTTAGCCATTGAACCAAGCCTGCTTGGCATCCTTGGTTTACCTTTCCCCCCTAATACATTCAGGGGAAAAAAGAGAAAAGGAAATCAGCTTATTCAATTTACATTTTGTTCGCTGGCATAAAATAAATTAAAACACAATAAAGATATATACATAATACATTGACAAAACCCAAAATACAATAAATTACACAAATGTAACTTGTTGATTTATCCACAATAGTAAAACAAACCAGTCACTGCTGTCAATATTTTTAAACTCCAAAGGTGACGGGCTGTAACATTTTTTAAAAAATAAAATTACTCACCAACTCTTTTCCTAACTTGTTGCTTGAGTACAAACAAAAAGGCAAACTTCCACATCACTTAACCACTATCACAAAATGAAGAACACAGAGTGTTTAGCATACCAAAACTTGTAACATGAACTTGGGACAAAAACAGACCTTCCTGTACTACTGCCTTTATAGCAAGATTTTAACAAACATCATATTGGGACAGAAACCCCAATGGATTTTATCATGCCAGACTGAATGAGAAGAAACCAAGAATCCAACCTCCTCTATACATTGCCACGCAAAATACTTGATATGTGTACCTAAACTAACATCAACCTAAAATGGCAGCATTCCAAACCAGGGCATGCAAGACCACAGGACCTAACCTGTGAAATACATCACGCGTGTACAATTATTCCACATGAGCAATCTTTCAATAAGACCTAATCACATCCAATCAATTAAGAGAGAAAAAAAGATTCATAGAAGGCCAATAATGACTACAGCAGGTAGATTTTGGCCCATCTACACTTCTAAATTTCAGCAGATACAGATTGAAAGGAGTCAATTTGATAAGCATCCTTGTTCCCCCCCATACACACATTACATATAATTAGATGTGGCAAGATATAAAAGAAGAAACAGATCACTTATTTATAATTATTCTTGAAGGTATCAAATCACAATCAATATATAGAGTCTGCAACTGTGCACAACAATCTTCAAAACTTTGCCTACCAAATTTGTGCATGTGGGCATGTGTGCGTGCGCGTGTTGACGGCACCAATAAACAATCAAAGTATATCCATTAAAGACATTTAATCTCAGATTTGGAGAGCATACAAACATTTAAATAATGCTTATACTTACGTTACAGTGTGCTAAATTTCTGCTCTTTTATAAGATGACCACGCTCTATCCTCACAGAAAAAAAAAATAGTTTGCTCATAGATACGGAATAATATGAAAGATTCTTTTGGAAAACATGGATAGCTTATGTGCCCAATCATGATGCAAAATACCAGCTTTAAGATATTGTGACAAGCCAGAGTTTCGTTAGCTTACGATGCCACAAATTCCAGGTTTTGTAAAGAAGGATGTATATGTGAAAAGTTCTCTCTAGCCAACATACAGCATTTTCCTCAGAGAGCTTGATAACAAGTCCATTTTTTTCCTGACATGAAAAAATAGGCATTAATAATTTGCATATTCACAAACAGAAGCTACACAAATAATTTTGGAATTTTCCCCTAGCAAAGTGCAATACATAGTGGAGTTGGGGATATGCATTATATATAGATGTGTGTATGTATGTCTATGTCTATGTATGTATTTGTGTGTGTGTGTGTGTTAATATTGTGTTGAAGTGCTGAAAAGCTTATGGTACAGGATTTCCTGTGAGATATCGGTTGGAGATAAGTATGGGAATTAGAAATAAGGTTTTAAAAAGTACTTCACCTTTAACAATGCAATCTCCTTATAGATAGGTTGCCTGTCAGGTTACATTGAAATCCAGTGGTTTTATATATACTGTAGGTAAGGATAAAGCATATGAGAAACTGACTTCTTCTTTCCTAGAATCTTTCTCTGCTCATTAATATTTTGATAATAATAAAGTTGGAAAGGACCTTGGAAGTCATTTAATCCAACCCCCTGCTCAGGCAGGAAACCTCATGGCATAGTATTTGAAAGATGAACTTGAACTGGGGTTACCCAAATTTTAAATCTAATTTAGATATATTAATCTCACTGAGAGATCTTTAATAAATCACATTATTGCAAAGATATGGGAGATGGAATGGGAGAGGACAACGTACATTGCCCTGAGGTTTTTGGGGGAAAAGTGAAATTCAAATAAATCAGTACATAAAATAACAAACATAAAATTTGGAAATAACTACTATTTGGTAAGTCTGCTGTTCCTAGAGACAATTTTTGCAATGTGCATTATAATGTTAATCATGCAGTTAGAGTTTGGAGATTCTAAGGGTTTATTAACTATTCGGTTTGCTTCAGGAACAGGCCCTCATGCATGTTCAGATAACTGAGGGAGTTTTTCAAAATGGCTGCACTGAGACTTCAACAAGTTGCAACACCTACCTAGACATTTTGAATAGTGAATCTGGAGGGTGCTTCAGTCACTTCATGAAATGTCCCACAAAATGATTTTTCACAGTCCTGATTACCCAAAGTTCCAATTGTTCCATTGCACCTTCTTCATTAAAGCCATACCAAATGACTTCCATTTGTTTAAAAAATGGAATTGTGATAAGACCAAACATGATTACGATGAGAGCAAAGTTCAAACCACCATTAGCAGCTTAGGAATTGTCTATCCTTGGCTGGCCAATGCTTATAACTGTAACAATATAGAGATGAAATGTTAAGCATACAAAACAGTAACATTTGACCCCAGAAAGATACAAGCCATTGCACCAGACTACATCAGTGTGCAAGTGTTTCTCCATGCTGATTGTTAAGATTGTATTCTCTAGGCCCAGCTAGATGAATAACTGATATGGAACTAGTTCAAGATTTACCTAGCCTATACTTTATAACAAAGAGAGATTTTTTCATCATATGTAACTTTTCTTAACATAAATTGTCTACTATCAAGGGCATAAGTTCCCACTTGCACAGTAAGTCTACACTTCTGTTGCATGAGGTAGCTATTAGTACAGATGGAGAAACTGAGGCACATATGGCAAAATGATTTGCCCAATGTCATACAAGAAGCTGGTAACACAAGCAAAGTTAAGCCTGAATTGTCAGAATTCATGTTTAGTTTTTAGGCAACAATGGTGCCAAAAATTTGTATAACATTCTTCACAAGTGGCCAGCTTAGGGTTCAAAGTAAGGAACTGTAGCCGCTCATTGTCAAAAAAAAAACAAAACAAAAAAAAAAAAAACCAAAATAGTTACAATAGGGAGAAAACATCCCACAAGCTGAAGTTAAATATATAGCCTAGGCCTGGGGTAGGCAACCTTGGCTCTTTTATGACTCGTGCACTTCAACTCCCAGAATTCCTGGCTCAGAAATTCTGGGAGTTGAAATCCACGAATCATAAAAGAGCCAAAGTTGCCTACCCCAGCCCTAGGGGTATAGGATAAGTTACAGTTTTTTCAGATCTTTTTAAAAACCAAATACCACAGCAGCTGAAATAAAAGAAAGTGAGAAATAGTCCCAATCATAGAACAATATGGGAATAAGAGATCGATGCATGTTGCTTACCTTACATCGCTAACCAATTTGTATCAAAACTTTAGACTCCTAATCAGAAGATTAGGTTAAAAAAGGATGTGCAGTTAACAACCTTTTTCATGCAAAATATTGCCATATTCTCTGCAGAGAATGCATAATTCTATGTCTGCTTTTTTTTCATTGAATTATACCACTTTCTAATTGCAACCCCAACCTTCTGTAATTTTGAAGATGTGTTTTTCCATGATTGGGTTAGATCAAAGTATCACAGTGCCCCAATTCTTCCACTATCAGAGCCTCCCCACTACCGTACACCCCACTGGTGAATCTGCCCTGATATAACCCTGCATTCATTTACCCATCCAAAATAGCTGACTTCTGTAAAATAGCTGTAAAATAGGCAACTTTGAAACTCAAGGCTCTTTATATCTCAACAGAAATCATAGTAGAATGCATGCTTTATAGGACATTGGCAAGTTCATTATTTGTGAGGAATCAATCACCCAGAGTGAAGGGGGGAGTCGAGGGGGCAAATGATAAAAGGTGTAGTACAACTTTGCCCCTTTTATATATGAGCTGTACTACAAATACAGTGGGACAAAAATGTATTTAGTCAGCCACCAATTGTGCAAGTTCTCCCACTTAAAAAGATGAGAGAGGCCTGTAATTGTCATCCTAGGTCAGTGGTTCTCAACCTTTTTAATGCCGCGACCCCCAACCGGTCGTAAGTCGAGGACTACTCAACCGGTCGTAAGTCGAGGACTACTCAACTGGTGCAGCACCATTTGCAGAATGGGACTTTTGGCGGGCTCAACAGGGCAGAGACAGCCTGGACAATTCCTATTGGCTTTTGAAAGCCAATAGAATTAGACTCTATTCAAGAGAGTCTATTCTATTGGCTTTCAAAAGCCAATAGAATAAAAGGGAGTAGCACAGCTAAAGAGGAAAAAAATGGTGGACTGCGTTGTTTGGCAACCCCCGTGAAATGGTCGTTCGACCCCAAATGGGGTCCTGACCCACAAGTTGAGAACCACTGTCCTAGGTATACCTCAACTATGAGAGACAAAATGAGAAAACAAATCCAGACAATCACATTGTCTGATTTGGAAAGAATTTATTTGCAAATTATGGTGGAAAATTAGTATTTGGTCAATATCAAAAGTTCATTTCAATATTTTGTTATATATCCTTTGTTGGCAATGACAGAGGTCAAACGTTTTCTGTAAGTCTTCACAAGCTTGGCACACACTGTTGCTGGTATGTTGGCCCATTCCTCCATGCAGATCTCCTCTAGAGCAGTGATGTTTTGGGGCTGTCACTGGGCAACACGGACTTTCAACTCCCCCCAAAGGTTTTCTATGGGGTTGAGATCTGGAGATTGGCTAGGCCACTCCAGGACCTTGAAATGCTTCTTACGAAGCCACTCTTTCGTTGCCCGGGCAGTGTGTTTGGGATCATTGTCATGCTGAAAGACCCAGCCACGTTTCATCTTCAATGCCCTTGCTGATGGAAGGTGGTTTGCACTCAAAATCTCACGATACATGGCCCCATTCATTCTTTCCTGTACACGGATCAGTCGTCCTGGTCCCTTTGCAGAGAAACAGCCCCAAAGCATGATGTTGCCACCCCCATGCTTCACAGTAGGTATGGTATTCTTTGGATGCAACTCAGCATTCTCTCTCCTCCAAACACGACGAGTTGTGTTTCTACCAAACAGTTCTACTTTGGTTTCATCTGACCATAGGGCATTCTCCCAATCCTCTTCTGGATTATCCAAATGCTCTCTAGCAAACTTCAGACGGGCCCGGACATGTACTGGCTTAAGCAGGGGGACACGTCTGGCACTACAGGATCTGAGTCCCTGGCGGCGAAGTGTGTTACTGGTGGTTGCCTTTGTTACGTTGGTCCCAGCTCTCTGCAGGTCATTCACTAGGTCCCCCTGTGTGGTTCTGGGATTTTTGCTCACCATCCTTATGATCATGTTGACCCCACGGGGTGAGATCTTGTGTGGAGCCCCAGATCGAGGGAGATTATCAGTGGTCTTGTAGGTCTTCCATTTTCTAATTATTGCTCCCACAGTTGATTTCTTCACACCAAGCTGCTTGCCTGTTGCAGATTCAATCTTCCCAGCCTGGTGCAGGTCTACAATTTTGTTTCTGGTGTCCTTCGACAGCTTTTTGGTCTTCACCATAGTGGAGTTTGGAGTGTGACTGTTTGAGGTTGTGGACAGGTATTTTTTATACTGATAACAAGTTCAAACAGGTGCCATTAATACAGGTAATGAGTGGAGGACAGAGAAGCCTCTTAAAGAAGAAGTTACAGATCTGTGAGAGCCAGAAATCTTGCTTGTTTGTAGGTGACCAAATACTTATTTTCCACCATAATTTGCAAATAAATTCTTTCCAAATCAGACAATGTGATTGTCTGGATTTGTTTTCTCATTTTGTCTCTCATAATTGAGGTCTACCTAAGATGACAATTACAGGCCTCTCTCATCTTTTTAAGTGGGAGAACTTGCACAATTGGTGGCTGACTAAATACTTTTTTGCCCCACTGTAGGTAAGGGGCAGAGCTTGCATTATGAGGTCAAAACCCACAATATTGTCAACTTTTAAAAAATGAAGGCTTCCTGCAGATAGCCTAGAATCCCCCATGCCTACAATATTCAGACTCAAAAGAAGTTTCATATGCATACAGAAAAGGAGGAGGAAAAAAAGGGGAACAGGAGAAGGAGGATAAGGGGGAGAAGAAGAAAGAAGAAAGAGGACGAGGAGGAGGAGGAGGAGGAGGGAAAGGAGAAGGAGGAGGAGGAAGAGAAGGAGAAGAAGGAAGTTCAGCACAGGAATGTCCAACTGTGGCAACTTTAAGACTTGTGGCTTCAACTGCCAGAATTCAAACTGGAGAATTCTGAGTGTTGAAGTTCACAAGTCTTAAAGTGGCCAAGGTTGGACACCCCTGGTTTAGAGCACTGAGAGAAAAAAACAATATATAGTGTGGCAAGAGTGCTAGTGCAGGATCATTTTTACATAATTTCCTGCTCTGTAACAGTGTATAAACACTGATGTCTACTTTTGCAAATTATCATAGTATTCTTGAAAATCAAGAACAGAGGCTTAGATGTATCGCATTGCTTGTTGCAGTTTGACAAGGACTACAAGAAACCCCAGAAAAAGAGTCAGCAACTCTGTGTAGCTCAGCCACATGCAGCTATAAAAAAGGGGCCTCCCCAATACCAGTTCTGTAGTGGGCCAAGAAATGTGATATGGCCTCAGCACCAACTTCCTACTTTACCTGTCTTGAAAGTGCATTCTTAGTGCAAGAAGTAGAACTGAAGCAAAAAGGAGCTTACCAGCCCCTTGTGGATTTCATGCTAGGACCAAAATTCTTGCTTGAGTTCATATGCTGTAGATTTATGTGTTCTGAGTTCTGTTCTGCAAAGCGGCACTGTGCTGTCCTGATTCTGACCTTCAACATCCATGTCCAGCAGTGTCCGTTCCTCTTCAGGCAGTCTTACATGAAAAGAAAGCAGCGCGGACTGCTCTTCAACTGTGCTGCTACTGCTGGCAAAGCAGGAGTCCATGTTACTAGGAGTTTCAGTACTGGAGCTATTAGCAGAGGATTCACCCCTAACCTTACTTGGGGATGCAAACCACCAGGGATCAACTCGCTGCCTGTTAGCTGAAGGGCGTGGCCTAGGTAGGAATTCCAAGGTCTTGGGTCTCTCCAACAAGGAATCCTGTTGAGCACTATAACGCCTGGGGGTTGGAGGGAAGATGAGGTTGGGATCTGGAAGTCGAGGGACTTCATTTGGACCCTGACTTGGACTGGGTGCTTTTATTATACCTATTCTCTCACCAGGAAAAAAAAATCACAAACAGAAGAAAGGAAGGGGGAGAGAGAAGAAAGAGAAACCAAACAGTTAGACAGCACTGATGAAATGAGGCATTGGGATCATTTAGTATTTAAATGCTGTATTAGACAGAGGAAGGATTCAGTTCACATAGGAGCTACGGTGACTGTTATGCTGATCCCAGCAAATCTGTATGGCAAATGCAAGTACAACAATAGATGACCAGTTATACAGTCACCATATATCCAACATGCAGCTTTATGTCTCTTTTGCTGGAATTATCTTTCCAATATGGACAACTTCGCATTAAACTCTAAAACCAAATTTTATAGGTAGTAAAGACAGAGAACAGCACATCTATACTGAAAAAGAAAGATTTCCATTACTGTTTTAAATAGAATGGAAGACTACTTTTATCCTTCCTTGCTTTAGAACTGCTGGGAACATTAGCCACTGCGTTAATAAAAGCAACCTAAAACAAAAAAACAATAATATAGTAACATTTTCTCATTAATTCTTATTGTGTCTAGATACTGCATCTAGATTTCAGGGTAGCACAGAGGTTTTTTTTTTATTATTAGAAGGTGGAACCTTTGCTCAAAAGCTCATTTTTTACCAGTAATTTCACAGTTCAAATGGGGCTTCCTTCCAAACAAAGATGCAGTGTCTATCTGTAATTAGCCTATGAGTCTCTTGAAGTTTAAATTGTTCTTTAACTGTATTTGAAAACTAACACAGCTTTTTAAGAGTATGCATTGATTATCCTTGTTATTAACATTTATTTGCATACTATATACATCAAAATTCAACAGGATACAAGCTATGTAAATAATAGTGTTTCTATCATGCATTATTAAGAATCCTGAACAGGTGCACAAAAGGACTGTGAAAACTCAAAAAGGAAAAAAAATGCTTTGGAAAGGCTCTCACTTTGTACCAAGTGGCAATATCTTAAATCAGGTACGTCTTTTCCCAGGACTGCTTTGCAGCTGCAGAGAACAGGTCCTGGGAAACGGCATTATTAGTTTGAGACACAGCCAGCAGGTGCCACATGAGTGCCCCATTCTGCTGAAACACCTTCTTCTCTTGGAAACCAAAATACTACACAGCATAGTGTATGTATGTAGTATGTAGTATATTGATGTAGTTTTAACTGACTTAAACCTCTTAAAAAAGACAACAAAGAAATGGAAGAGATTTATTTTGAGTCTCTTTCAGTTATAGATACAGAATTTTTTTTCTCTAAATTGATTATATCCAGACCATTTATAAAAAAAAATTTGTGAACTCTTTAAAGAAAAAGCTATTTCTTTTCAACTGCAACTGTAATTAATTTAAAAATTATATATTTAAAATAGTATTAACAGTGAAGTCTATACCATTTTTATTTTTCCTTTAAATACAGAAATTAGAGAACTTTTTCCTACCTTACTAATATACCCAAAATAACTTCAGAATAACCAGGTTATGGTATCAGTTTTATGCAATAAAATGACAAACTTATAGCTATATATTTCAAATGGAAAAAGTAATATTTTGTGAGAACATAAAAATTTCATTTTATCGTAACCCTTATGTTTTATTGTAATATGCATTTTAATATATTTTAAGAAAATGGACAAAACTAGGGTGACATGGTATTATTTGCAAGGGCATGGTTAGAAACCTTTAAATATCTAAGTATCTATATCTGCAGCCTTAAAAACTGTAAATTAAAATACTGTCATTTTCAGTACTGGGACAGAATTATTTATTATTATTAAGGTTGGGTGCACAATCTGCCAGATGTTTAGAGTCGATTTGGCATTTTTATCCATCTATAAGTTCTTCCCAAGACCTGAGATAGGTAGTTGTTTTTAGATGGTGTTAAAGGTATTCTCATAATATGAAAGCTGTTTAAACTAAAGCTGTTTTTTGGAGTTGACTGGTGTGATTTTGCCAATATCATTGGCATTCAAGTGATGCTCCAGATGCTTTGGGATTGTACCCAAGACACCCTTTGCTTTTGTTAACAATATGGTATACTAGTTTCAGTACATCTTTTTCACTGTTCTTCAGATACTCTTCCAATGCTTTTTTTCCTTCTTCAACTATTAGGTGTATTTGTGAGAGTCCATGCCCACCTATTTTCCTTGGTAAATAAGAGTCTGTCAACATTGCTGTGTGAATGAAGGGCATGAGTCATTGTCATTATTTTTCTGATCTTCCTATCCAGGGCTTATATCTAATGACTGGAACTTTCCAGGTGTTAATTGACTTGATGACATTTCCTCCACTAAGTTTGGACTTTAAGATCTTCTCCACTCTCATGATGTATTCACTTCTAACCTTCTTCTTGAGTTCAATTGGCTTGATGTTCTCAGCTTGAAAGATGTCTAGGTATTTGTAGTGATCTTCTTCATTCAGATGCCTGAAATTATTTCCATGAGGCATCTTGACTCCTTCAGTTTTCACTATTTCCCCGTTTGATGGTAAGGGTAGTACATTTATCCAGGCAATGGCAATACCTTGGCTATATATACTGACAATGTTTAGCAGCAATTCTATTTCAGATGGTATTTTTCCATATAGCTTCAGATCGTCCATGTAGAAGAGGTGGGATAGCTTGGCAGATGCTTTTGATGTCTGATAGCCATAGGCAGACTTGTTTAGCATTGTTTACAGAGGAATCAATGAAGTGACAAACAGTAGTTGTGAGAGTGATTTTTTTGAAGATTTCTCTGTTAATATTTACCTCTCCTAGTCTATAACTCCTGCCAAGGAATTGTGTCTTCCATGATGATATTGATCTTAGCACAACGTTTCTGATATTTCTATTGACTCCTGTCAATAGAATAGGCACTTATCTAATCATGTGGCAGGGAGTCAAATGCTTTCTTATGATCAGTCCATGCTACATTCAGGTTGGACTTCCTTCTCTTGCAGTTTTCCAAAAATTGCAGACTTTCCTTCTCTTGCAATTTTCTAAAAACCACCTTGTCAATTAGGAGTTGATCTTTTGTTCCTTTTGTTTGTGATAGTTTACATTCTACTCAGATAGAAACGGTTTGTTTTCAAATAGATGCTGTTGGATTGCATCAGCTACCAAACCAGTTAGCAATTTCAAAGTTGTTGGCAGGCAGGTAATAGGCCTGTAGTTGCTTGGTGGTGTCCCTTTTGCTGAATCTTTCATTATCAGGTAGGTTTTGCTGAATTGTAACTAATCTTCAATTTCACCTCCTGGCAGTATGTTATTAAACTGCTTGGCAATGTGATGGTTCAGACCAGTCAGCTATTTCAACCAAAACCCATGCAGTTCACCTTTACCTGGTGCTCACCAATTCTTGGTCTTCCTTGCCCTTTTCTGTATCATTTCTGCTCTTATTACAAGTTATTTCATTTCAGCTTTTTTTCTTTCCACCATCTTTACCCAAACTGCATTCTTGTTATTTCTTTAGGGTGTCCTATAGCTGCACCCAGAATTGTAATGTTTCTTTTTCATCAGGTGTTGACTGGTTCACTGCAGTCTCTCCATTGATGGATTGGTAGAAACCTTTATTATTTGACTATAGTGTGCAATTTAATTATTTATTTATATCCCACCTTCATCAATTTTATAACGAACTTAAAGCTGCAAACACGAGCCTCCTATCTGCTGATCTTCTTGGCTATGGTTATTATTAGCTGCTTTTATTATTTTCAGTGACTTCTTGGTTTTCCTTATTTCTAGGTGATATATCTTGATTAGGCATTCTTTGGCTTTCTCATTCTTAAGCTTCTTTTCTTTCACCTGTTCTAGCTTGCTTGCATCTGATCTTAGCACGCTGACCTTGTTTTCTAATCTGATCTTCCATTTTACTGGGTTTTTTAATAGCTTTTTTCTTGTTGATTTTGCATTTAAGGTATTCAGTTAAAACTACAGCTGTGTTGTACATAAGTTGGTTTGTTTCTTGCAGTGAACTGGTGCTTATATTTAATATACAGTATTGGCATCCAAGGCGCCTGAAGGCAGGACGAGAAGCAACGGATGGAAACTGATCAAGGAGAGAAGCAACTTAGAACTAAGGAGAAACTTCCTGACAGTTAGAACAATTAACCAATGGAACAACCTGCCTCCAGAAGTGGTGAATGCTCCAACACTGGAAGTTTTTAAGAAGCGACTGGGCAGCCATTTGTTTGAAATGGTGTAGGGTTCCTGCCTTAGCAGGGGGTTGGACTCGATGACCTCCAAGATCCCTTCTTCTTCTTCTTCTTCTTCTTCTTCTTCTTCTTCTTCTTCTTCTTCTTCTTCTTCTTCTTCTTCTTCTTCTTCTTCTTCTTCTTCTTCTTCTTCTTCTTCTTCTTCTTCTTCTTCTTCTTCTTCTTCTTCTTCTTATTATTATTATTATTATTATTATTATTATTATTATTATTATTATTATTAAATACTTGTGGTAGCTGCTTCTTGGAACAAGCTTTAATGTGACCAACTTTGTTGTTTTTGTGCTGCCCAACTACTTAGTTACTCTTTATTTCAGTTCCTCTTGTTTTATTTTTAGTTAGAGGGCTTTGTTATTATTATTATATGGAGAGAACAAATCTTTGTTAAACCCATCAACCCTAATATATCCCAAGAAATCAAACAGTTTTGGGATTTTTATAATGTAGTTGTGCCAAAGAATGAAATAGCTTCCTTGAGATTTAATGAAATTGTCGGTCTAATATTTGTTATTTGCTTTTAAGATAATGTGTTGTCTTAATTAAGAAGCAGGGAACATCTTTCTGCTGCTATAAAATATATGCACATTCATTCATTCATCTGAATAATTTGTGCCACTCGTTAGTCATATTAGCTCAGTTTGGTTAATTCACAAGAGAATTTTATCTTTTGGTAGGATGTAGAATTCAGCAAAATAAAGAAGCAATCTTGAGTAGAAGAAAACGTTGGGAACACTAAAAAAAAGATGAAGTAATAGAACAGTAGTTGTAGGGTTTCTTTCTAAAGCATAGAAAAATGTGTGCAAGAAGTAAAATCATGCTAAAAGGAAGCTAAATAGGAAGGGAAGTTAGAACCAGAAGCTACAAGAAAAAGGTAAACCTGCTAGTATGAGGAAAGATGAAAAGAAGTTGGATAAAGGTTTCCTTCTTTCCTTCAGTACCTATGAAAGTCTTCTCTACTGATCAAATTGTCTGTACAAAAATAGCTTATTTTTGTCCTTCAATCTTATTTCAGAATCAACAGCTATTGCAGAAATGCAGTGGCAAGGACATTTATGTTCTCACTTTGTATGGAATATAAAAATGAAGAAGGAAAACCTACCTGTTCCCAGCACTCCCGATGGAGAATTACTGGAAGAATCTCCATTAGGAACGAGATCAGCCAGTTTTATGGCACCATCAGAGGGAGTGCGCCTATGCTTCTGCTGCTGAGCTTCAGAGGAAAGAGTCACATGTGTGGGTGTCAAAGACTGGTTGGGATTCCGTTTGAATCTCTCAACTTGGATATTAACTAGTGGGTTACTAACTACTGGCAAGGGAGCCTTCACTGTCACAGGACTAACAGGCATCTCATATACCACAATTTCATCACTGTCTGAATGAAGTAAAGAACGGGTGGAGTTACATTCAGAAATTGAAGACAAAGAGAGTAGAGTCAGAGAACTGGATGGTTCGCCTAACAAGAATGTGGGTTCCTCTTTCCTGAAGATCTTCCTTGAAGGTGGGCTTGTACTCCTCCGAGACAGACCAGCCCGTTGGAAGATATTTTCACGTTTCTTTTTTTCTTCCTTGGACATATCCTGATCTTCCTGGGTTAGCAGCTGGCACTTGCCAGCTTCCAAAAGATCAAAACCAAGGCCAGCAGCAGCCAACACAGCCCCACAGCCTAGAAAGGCCAATTGACATTGTTTATACTGGGAGCCCCCACGTTTGAGACTGTTGGTGGGAGTGACCTGAGGAGTGCTTGTGGAAGAGTTCACTGGAGTAGTCTCTTCATTAGGATCACTAGACTGGTTATCCCAGTCATCATTCTTCTGAAATGGGATGCAGAGGTATGATTGGTTAAATCCAGGGGATTGCTGCATCTTGCTCCCTGTATCATTCAAAGAATCATTGTCTTCATTGTCTGAAATACAGATGCATAACCACAAAACCTTTTTAACCTCTATATAATAAATACATATTGGTTAACTTTGCCACGTGTGTATCTTGAAAGATGGTAAAACAATAGAAATCTGAATTTTGAATAGAGTGCAAAATATCGGAACTCTGTTCATTCAAGGAAGTACTTCAAAAGGCTACTTTTGATTTGACAAATCCTCTATTCTTTCTTATGCAACTATATTGACTCACTTATCTTTTAACAGACAACAGTTCTAAGAAAGCTGTATTTTGTAGGTGATTATCTAGGACAGAGGTGCTATTCAACTGTTATAGATAAGGCTGAATTCCCTGCAATGATCAATTACGTTAATTGATCCAGTTTGCTGAGAGGGCCTAGGAACACACTCAACCGGTTGTTTTCACTATATTTCCTGGAAAGAAACAATAATAATGAGCTGTATGTTTGTAAACTCCAGACTTGATTTAAAATTATATGTATAGGATTGTTACTAAAATACAGACTTTAAGCTGCAAAAGGGAATTAACTTCTGAAATCACACGCTCTTAAAAAGTTTCATTGGCTATTAGTTTAATTTATGTGCACAAATCAAAGATTTTTCTTAAAAGCCAATAAGATGTTTTGAATCATTTGTTCTATATTAAGAGCTTTGCTCAATTTTTTTCCCAAGGACCCCAAATTTCTAATAAGCATGACAGTTCTGGGGGAATGGGGAAGCTAAATATGTCCCAGCTTGGCCAATGAAGTAAATAGACTGCTAAGTGGAGTCCTTAAAAAAAAAGTCATTAGAAAGAGATATTTGAGAGGGTTTTGATTCTTTATCACAAATGGTGAAATAAAGCAAAATAAATAAAAATAAAAAATAAAATAAAAATAAAGCTATATATTTAATTTAATGTATACTTTACCCATCTCTATTAGACTTGCAAATCCGGGAAAAGGGACTATTGTTCGCTGGAATTTTCCAAGGTTTGGAGCACTAGATGACCACTGTCTAGCGCCATCTGCCAGGGACTTTAGGCTAAAATATAGAAAGAAAAACTAAATAAATGCAGCAGCTTCCTTGCTTGCTTTTGTCCATTTTGACACTCTATACATTAAACATTAAAATTATTTGACACTCTATAGATTATACATTAAAAATGAAATTCACTCCAGTTATCTATTTAAACATATGAGTTTTTCCTTAGCATAAGCCCTGACATAATACAATACAGTACAGTACAGTACAATACAATACATAGATACAACCTCAACATAATTAATTTGTTAATAAAATCCAATCTGATTTTTATTTCAGTCAACCATCAATGATTATGATAATGGTACTGATAACAATATTGGTTATTCAGGATTTTGGAATGCCTAAACAAATTAAAAAGTCAAATCTGCCTGAGGAGAAAAAAAGAATGGCACTAAGTTAAAAGTGAGAAAGAAATATTGCTATGTGTTTGCATGCATAGGGAAAGAATATGATAAAGTGAAGAAGCTTAAATTCTGGGGGGGAAATTGTGAATGTGACGTTTAAGGTCCATACCTAGATAAGCAGGGATTAACACCAGATAAGCAATCAAGCAAAAAGCAATACTCTAATCAAGGAACTACCAAGGAGAAAACCTCACCCACTCCCAGCTTTGGAAGGAGAAGCTAAAGGACAAAATTGGTAGGAGTCAAGAAAGGTCCAACTTAAACAAAATAAAATAAATAATTTGCACACATATATAAAAGGAGTAGAGCCTGAATCATGACTATTTTCACCATTTTTATCGAAGTATCTGATCTTGGCTCCTCCACTGATATAATGCAGATAATTTGCTTGGAATGTATGTATGTATATATGTATGTATGTATGTATGTATTATAGAGATATGGTCATGTGTTACTACCGCTCATCGTTTAATGAGCAGAAAGACATCTCTTTTTTTTCCACTGTCTATTCATCACATTTCTGTATGCTTCAGCCTCACTTGAGCACTAGTCAGTTTCTTCTTGAGTAAAAAAGTATAGGGCAGATTTACTTTTACAGGCAATCTCAACTTATTTCCATTTTTTAATGACCATTGAAATTACAATAGCCTCAGAAAGCATGACTTATATTTATGATTTGTACCTGTACTTACATCATTGCACCACCCCTTCAATCATGTTGATCACACTTTGTGAACTTTTTGTGCTGACTGTCAGCAAAAAAAATGCACTTTTGTTTAATGACTGTGTGATTTGCTTAACAATCACAGTAAAAAATATTGTAAATTCAGGCCTGACTCGATTTAAGACCACCACCATTTACAATGAAAATGCAGGTCCCAGTGTGGCCGTAAATTGAAGACTACCACTCATGAAAATGATAGATAGGATTATTCTAACACTTTCCCAAAGCTTAAAAAAAATTAGGAAAAGAAACAATGATTGCCTAGCAATCATTTCCACGAAATTGGAGATACCAAGAAAAGGTCATGAAACATGTCTTCTTCACTTTATGTTTTTTTCAGAACAGTGTTGCATTTTCTAAGTTGCTCCTGCCTTCCGCCTATTAAAATCATCCAAGGATATTGTATTCAAACTTTGTTTGTGGAAGAGTTCATGTGGTTGCATGAAAAAATACTTGATGAAAATTTAAACCATACATTTCCGGGCGTACTTTTTACAGCTACTCGTTAAAAAGATATTGAACTGCCTTTCCAATTCTTTGGAGGTTTTTCTTGGTTACATTTTCAGAAATGGTTTGCCACTGACTTCTTCCTAGGGCTCAGAGTCAAGGTCCCTCAGCTGGCTTTAGGCCAAGGGCAGGACTAGAACTGACAATGCCGTGATTTCCAGACTGATACCTTTAACTACTACATCAAACCAACTCTCTCTATACATATATTATACCCAGCCAGATATACATTGAAAACTCATGATACAGTAGCAGATGTGTTTCTTACCCATCCTCACTTGATGTTAGCTCCTTACTGCAAAAAGTACCTGGCCCCCATGTCCGACCCTTTTTCTTTTGGCTTCTTTTTTCTTCTTCTCCTCCTTCCTCATCCTTCTGGAACACAGAGCTGCGTCCCCAGGTTTTGCTGCTTTCACCAGGGGTTACTAAAGTTGCAACGCAAGATTAGAGGAAGAAAAAAAGTAAGCATTATACAACAACATTGTAATAAGTGACATTTTGTACATTATAAACTACGGAGGACTTATTTTTGAAAATTTACAAATCATAATTTCAATTGTTCATAGACATTCTCACCCAGCTTAGCCAGGGAAAAGACTTTTCATAGAGAAGGCAGCCATTCTCTCTCTCTCTCTCTCTCTCTCTCTCTCTCTCTCTCTCTTTTTTTTTTTTTTTTTTTTTTTAAAGATGCATATTTAAGGAGAGAACATTTCTCAGGCAAGTAAAACTCAATCTCAAATAATACAATGGAATAGCAAAAGATTGCTGCAAGAAGTTGAGAGAAAAAAAAAAAGGATAAATGTCCAAACATACTTATTATGCTCTGCAAATGGAATAGAGGTGAACATATTCTTGCTGCCGAAAGCCATGGTCTTCTCTCTTTTTTTTTTTTTTTATAAAAAATGCTGCAAATAGGGCCAATTACAGCCAAGGATAGTAAATATGCTTTATTTCTTCAAGAGAAATGATCTCTATACTTGATTAAAGGTCAGACCACTTTACATACATCCATTCCAGCTTTTTTTTTTAAAAGCTAAATAAGACATCCTATTCACCTCTGATAGATCACACCAAGCTTGCGACAATCAGTTCGAAAGTGATGCACTGGGCTGGGGGGAAAACTTCTTTAAAAAAATAAAGCAAAACACATTTATGTTCCATCTGCATTAAGAGAAGTTGTGAAAATAATAAATCAATGTTGCACCATGTAGTGACAGACAGAATAAGAAGCAGAGGCTGTATGTTAGTTAAGATGTAAGTTTTATAGATATGTTCTTCATGGCTTTGAGAAATAGATAGCCTTCTTGTTTTGATGGGATACACAGTCCAGAATGCTTGCAGAATTAGTATTGTTACTAGAAGTTAGGAAGCTGGTATCAGAGAACAGGTTTAACCCCTTCGACAGACTACTTGTGGCTGTTCTTATATAGGGATAAGTTAGTATCAGGGATCCTCACACTGGCAAATTCATATTTCATTAGTGTAATGTCATATTGCTACAAATAATAACAACCACAATTTACATTTTTGACTCCGTGACTTTTGGTGGTCTTTTCAGTCTGAAAATAAAAGCCAGTGCAAAATGCAATAGCAAAATTACTGCATGCTGTGTTTAGTCATTGCTGAATCATACTGCTGTTAAAAGAATTACATAATTGTCAATTTGCTTTTGGCCAGCAAACCCATAAAGCTTTGTACAACATAGGAGCAAAACACAAAATAGAATGACTGGCTTGGCCACCATAATGATTGCCCTAGGCACTCCTGATTATGGTACACTCGTTGAATATTCATTTGACATCAGTCAGAAAGAACTCTGGAATGTTCTCATTCTGTAAAATAAAATGCTCAAGCTCCAACTCATATTAATAAATGTTGTATTTGCCTTAGTGTTTAGAGAATGATAATGAAAATTCTCATTTTTACTATTTACATGTTTTACTTTACCATGTATATATTTATTGTATTCCATCTATATTGATTATACACGATAGTGTGTATGTGCGTGTATGTATATGTATATACCCCCCCAAAAATTTAGATATCTCTACACCACTTTTATAGATTCTACACCAGCTCTACGCCAGCTCTTATAGATATTGTGCCTTGCAATGCACATGTGACAGCTTTGCACATCTATTTAAACCCATAATGTTAAGGATAAAATGGCAGAAAGATAGAAGCAAGCAATGAGCTGTTAAAAATGAATTATAATGAGACACAACAGCGCCATCAGGATTAGCTATAAATAAAACTCCCCAATATAGAAAACAACATGGTGTCTTTATTTAAAACAGAAATTCACAGTTTCATTTTGGCACTGGATATTTTTTATAAATTGCAACTAAAATTTCTTACACTGGATGGCCCTGAGCCTAGGAATGATAGTAGGGCTGGCAGGAGGACTGGCACAGTTGTTGATCAAGTTTTTTCTTTTATCCATGGTTGGAGATGCCTGCACAGTGAATTTGTGCTGGAAATCTGTTATGGAAGGAAATGTATTAAATATAATCATTAGTGACGTAATGCTTACACTGAAAAGATATACAGTGCGGTACTGTATCATTCACATATATACTTCAGTCTGCTAATTTCAGTTGAGAATTTAGTGTTAATCCTGCAACATTGCCAATAGAAAAATTATCTGTTTTCCAATTATTAAAACATATTAGAGCCATGTCTTCTTCTATATCATGGGTATCAAATTCGCCACATCACATGACGTGTCACGATGTATTGTGACTTTTTTCGCATTGCTGGAGCTGGGGTAGGTGCGGCTTCTGCATGATGCAACCGGCCCATGGGCCAGCAATTTAACACTCCTGTTCTATATCAAACTTATTATGCAACATGTTACACCGATGAGTTAGTTAATGAAACAGTAAAGTACTTTTTCTAGAAAATACTAGGGATCTACGGTGTATTAAAATTCATCTCATGCTGTAGCTTCAATAAGCTAATTCAGAAGAGAGGAAGGAGAAGCATTGCTTTGATGGGAAAATGCTGCTAATTTTGCACAAGTTCCATATCATAAATGCTTATTTGGGATGTTCAAAATTAAAGATTTTGTTCCAGCAAAATTCAGCACTATTTTGAAAATATTTCCATTAGACCTGGACCAAATCAGAGACAGTCTACTTTAATTTTGGCTAAGGAAACAGTTTTTTTCTGTGTCTGACTTGTTAACATTGCAAAGCCACAAAGATCAATAACATATTTAATTTTTATAGAATGGTATTTTATTTTGGGGTAAATTTTTGGAAGTGAAGGTCAACTAATAGGAACTTTTCAATACTTTTTTTTTAAACTATACATTCTATAACATTTTTGGTTGAAGCATTTGAAGACCCAGTTTATCTTATATGCGGATCAAAACAATTCCAATTTCAGATTGATATTTTGTATAAATTTGAAAGAAGGTCTTTCAATCTTACTTGTTGCCTGGTAATCAAGATCTATCCCTTAATTAGAAATCTGCCAAATTACAGGAGATTTCTTTACAATCTGATTTTTGTTTTAAAAAGTAACATAGTTGGTAGTACCTAGCTGCTTTGGGCTGACTCCTAAAACTAAATAGAATTGAATCTTATTAATACTTTGATGGGAGACTACCAAAGTATATTAGAATTATAGGGTTGACCAAGATGTCTCAAAAAGGTTTGTAACTTTCACACTGTTGCCAAGGGAACAATTTAGGCCTACAAGGTCACCAGAAGTCTAGCTTGAATTAAAGAATGTTTTAATTGCAATCAGATAATTATTCACACGTTGTATATTTTCATAATAAATCTGGAAGGAAGCAATCATTACTTTATTTTGTTTTTTCTAAACGCACCAGAGGGAAGACTGATGTGATTGCCATCTTTCAACTTGAGCCGATTTTTCCTGAATTTGCCCATGCGTTTTCTTACACGGGGCTTTTCCTGGCACAGCTGGTGGATGATTATATTGAGCTCTCTTTCCAAAATACCAATTTCTCGCTCTGCCAACTCCTGCTCGCGTTGCCGTAGTAGTTCTTCGTAGTTTTTCTGTTGAACTGCTGCTTGTTTTAACTCTTCTTCCCATGTCCGCAGCTCCTACAAGAAAACAAGTTCCAAACCAATCTAAAAACTGAGGTAGCAAAATTAGGCCTTCTATAAACTGAAAGGCTCAGAAAACAAAACAAAACATTTTGAATGTGCATGTGGTAGTTAACAGATTTTCAATACCTATAATTTGAATGATTAAAGATCAGTCATATGAATGAATTGTTTAATTTTTTTAATCAGAATTGTGTTAGCTTTATCTCTAAAATCAGCCAGGAATCAAATTTCAAAGCAACGACAGGTAAACTTCTCTTACCATCCACAACTGTGCCTGGAATTATTGCAGTCATTTTGCAGGTCACCCATGACCTGACTTGATTTTTCAAATATTTTTGTGATAGTTGTAAAGTGACTCAGCAAATACGTGGCTATTAAGCAAATCATGTGCCTGTTAAGCAAGTCACATGATTGTTAAGTGATTCTGACATATCCAATTGCTTATTAATGCAAGCCAGTTGCCAAGCACCCAGAATGTGATTGCATGACACTGTGTGTGTGTGTGTGTGTGTGTGTGTGTGCGCGCATTCATGCAGCAATCATAAAGTTGGGGATGGATTGTAATTTTTTTTCAGTTTGTTGTAACTTTGAACAGTTGTTAAGTGAGAACTACCTGTACAGTGAAAAATAAAAAAAAAAACTAAAAGAAATGTTCATACATTGAATGGGAATCAGATTATCTAGCTAATTATAAAATAATTAGAGTAGAAAAATAACAAGCAGCGGAATTATTACTTTTCATCAAGTCTGTATTCACTGGACCATTTGTCTGAGCTGCCAAAATCCAAACCACAGAAGTTCTCTGTATTTCTTTGGCTGCCAGCTAATGGCGATTCAGACTCTGCAGTTCACTTAAGTAGCACTTCATTAAATAGCTCCAGAGATTAATTAGCAGATATGAAAAAGGTCTTGTACTTTAAATATTTAGCTATACTCAGTACCGCCTTTCAAATTTGATACTAAGCCCTTTTTAAACTTCTCTCATGTTATAGATCTTGATAATTTTATTGTCATGAGCTTTTATTTTATTTTTTTAATTTTAACCTGTTAAAATAGGAAGACAAACTTTCTAATAGAATCATAGCAGAAATGGTTATCTATGCCATTTAGCCCAACCATGAACTTCTTTCACTGGGTTATCTACATATACAAAAAAAAAAAAAAAAGAACTTGAATGTATGTGTAAATAAATAATAATTAAGACAACTGTTTATGTTGATTTTTTAAAATTATGTGCCATCAAGTTGTTTTCAACTCTTAGTGTTATGTCCCGAGCCTTTGCAAACGGCTCGGGCGTTTGCAGACAGTCCCGGGCAGGTGCAAAGCTGCCCGGGACCAGACAGGCTGTCGCCAGCGCCGTGCGCATGCGCGGGTGCTGGCGCGGGAAAAGTAACCCATTTACCCGGGAGTTGCCTATATAAGAGGCTGCGAGGCGTTTGGGCGAGGCTGAAGCCATCTTCCTGTAAGCTGAACGCTGAATAAAAGAAACTGAGAACTCCAGCTGCTTCTCGTGTCTGTTTTCCCGCCAAGGACGCAACACTGGCGACGAAGGTGGGATGCCTTGCACTACCTGGAAAGGAAAAGTGTAAGCTTACCCAAGGAGTCCTGAGCGGCGGAAGAGGAACGGCGTCGACTCGGCAGCTGCCCGCCAATCCGGTGCGCATTCGGGGGTAGGCTGGCTGATAGACCCGTCTCCTGAAGATCCGAAGATGGCGAAAATCGGAAGGCTTTCGGAATTCGACGTCTCACATCCAGAGCGGTGGGAGTCCTACGTATCCAGAATGGAGAACTACTTCAAGGCAAACCAAGTGAGGGAAGATAGCTTGAAGGCCGCCACCCTGCTTTGCGTTTGCGGCCAAGACGCCTTCGAAATCGCAGAAAATCTTGTAGCACCTGTTCCAGTAGAGTCTGTAAGCTACGCAGACCTGAAGAAGCTGCTGAAAGAGCACTTCCACCCCAAGGTGTCCGTTATCTCATGGCGCCACACCTTCGAGCAGAGGGATCAACGGTCCGGTGAAACAGCCAAGGAATACATCGCCGCGCTACGGAAGGCCGCCAAGCCCTGCGAGTTCAAGGACCTCGAGGAACGACTGAGGGACCGATTCGTGTGCGGGCTAAGGCATCGAGAGCTACAACAGAGACTTTTTGCCAAGGAAGAATTATCCTTCCAAGACGCCTTAAGGGAAGTCACCGCAGAAGAAGCAGCAGGCGGCGCCATCAAAAACATGCGGCCGATCAGAAACAGTGCAGAGGGTGCGTCCGTGCACCAGGAAGACGTCCGACGAAACTCCGAGGAGGATCCGGACGAGGAAGTCGACCGTCTACACCCCGCGAAGGAAGAGAACCAGAAGGGAAGCTCTTCGGCTCTGCTCAAGTGCATCGGCTGTGGAGGTCGCCACAGGAGAACCGACTGCAAGTTCCGCTCCGCTACCTGCCGGGCATGCGGCAAACAAGGGCATATTGCAGCTGTGTGTCTGAGCCGACGAAAGGCACAACCCCAAGAAGAACGCCTGAAAGGTACCAGATTCCCCAGCCAGAATAGGGTAGGGTTTTGCGCTTCGCGAAGAAGCATCTGTAGAACAGGCACACACAAGCCCATGAAGAAAAAGCTGTCACTCAACGTGAAGCTACAAGGGGTTCCATTATCTATGGAACTAGACACAGGGTCTGCCCTGTCCATCATTTCATTGCATACATTTAGGAAGATTTGTTCCAGTAGTGGGTCTAAGGCCAAGTTAAGGCCTTCTGATATTGTATTAACAGATTTTCAGAACTCAAGAGTGTGTGTTAAGGGGGAGGCCACCCTTAACGTGCAATACAAGAGCTTTGAAGGTCCACTAGACTTATTAGTAGTAGGGGGTGAACGAACGAGTCTCATAGGACTCGATTGGTTTGAGGCCCTGGGGATACACGTCACAGGACTCAACAGCTTACAAACACTCGACCTACAGGAAGTCTGCAAAGAATTTGCAGATGTTTTCAGCCCCCAGCTGGGCACATTCAAAGGACCACCTGTGTCCTTAAAGCTAGACCCCACTGTCACTCCCATTAGGATTAAAGCAAGAAGGGTCCCTTTTGCTTTAAAAAGTAAGATTGACACTGAACTAGACAAACTAATCCAACAGGGAATCCTAGAACCTGTTGATTCCAGCCCGTGGGAGACCCCCATTGTCACGCCTCTAAAGGCAAATGGGGACATTCGCATTGTGCTGATTACAAATGCACACTCAATAAGGCATTGCAGCAACATGCCTATCCTGTTCCTGTGGTCAGTCACATCCTGGCCTCTCTCAAGGGGGGGCGTGTTTTTGCAAAGCTTGACCTAGCTCAAGCATATCAACAGCTGCCTGTTGATGATGATGCTGCCATAGCTCAGACCATTGTGACCCACAGGGGAGCCTTTAAAGTAAAAAGGCTACAGTTTGGAGTAAATGTCGCTCCTGGGATTTTCCAAAGCGTAATGGAAAACACACTACGAGGTATACCAGGGGTCTGCCCCTACTTTGACGATGTCTTGATTGCAGGAGACTCCACACACATTCTAGCTGAAAGACTTAGGGCTGTCCTGTTAAGATTCAGGGAATCAGGCCTCAAGCTCAGAAAAGACAAATGCAAGATCGGGGTGCCTTCTACTGAATTTCTGGGATTCAAAATTGATGCTGCTGGGATTCATCCTGCTGAATCCAAACTAACTGCTATTTTACAAGCACCCAGGCCAAAGTCTAAGGCCGAACTTCAGGCCTTCCTAGGCCTCCTGAATTTCTACAATTCTTTTCTTCCACATAAAGCTAGTGTAGCTGAGCCTCTTCACAGGCTACTAGACAAACAAGCTGTGTGGCTGTGGTCACAAGCACATGAGGCTTGCTTTAAAGAAGTCAAGGCCTTGCTCACTTCTAACAGTGTTCTTGCACATTTCAACGAGTCTCTTCCTGTGTGCATCGCTTGTGATGCATCCCCCTACGGGGTTGGAGCTGTCCTGAGTCACCTCAGGTCTGATGGAACTCAGGTTCCTATTGCATACTACTCCAGAACACTGTCTTCTGCCGAGCGCAACTACGCTCAGATAGACAGGGAGGCTCTGGCTGTTGTTGCTGGAATTAAAAAATTCCACGATTTTCTATATGGCAGGCATTTCACGGTCTTCACTGACCATAAGCCTCTGCTGGGACTGTTTACCACACGTAAGCAGACTCCCCACATCATTTCCCCTAGAATGCTTAGGTGGTCTATTTTTTTGTCTGCATATGATTTTTCATTACTCCACAAGCCTGGGAAAGAAATGGGCCATGCTGATGGCCTCAGTAGGTTGCCTCTGCCAGTAGTAGAAGCTGACCCCGCGCCAGCTGTCAACATTCTATCAATCCAAGCCTTGCCCGAGCTCCCTCTTAGTGCCAGGGATGTTACCGCTGAAACAGGTACAGATCACACACTTTCACGTGTCCGCTCCTGGGTCCTGTCCGGGTGGCCTGAGCACTGCCCTAGTCCTGAGTTTCAGAGTTTCTGGTCCAAAAGAAACGAACTGTCCCTTTCTCAGGGTTGTCTGCTTTGGGGAAACAGAGTTGTCATTCCCACCTCAATGAGGACTAGGGTCTTAGAATCCCTCCACGAGGGTCATCCTGGCATTGTTCGTATGAAGGCTCTTGCACGAAGCCACTTGTGGTGGCCTGGTTTAGATAAAGATATTGAGGCTAAGGTGCACGCATGCCACCTGTGCCAACGATCTCGCCCAGAGATGCCCCAAGCTCCTGTGCATAGATGGGAGGAAACACAGTCCCCATGGTCTAGGGTGCACATTGACTACGCTGGGCCCTTTCAGGGCCAGTTCTTCTTGGTCCTTGTTGACAGCCATTCAAAATGGCTTGAGGTTGTGCCTGTCTCATCCACCACCACTGCAAAGACTATTCAGGTACTGAGGGGGATTTTTGCTGCACACGGGCTGCCAGATGTCATTGTGTCCGACAACGGCCCTCAATTCACCTCCTCCGAATTCCAAGCTTTCTTACAGGCAAACCTGATTCGTCATGCCACGTCTGCGCCTTTTCACCCGTCCACCAACGGTATGGCTGAACGCATGGTGCGCATCGCAAAGGACGCCTTGAAGAGACTCACCTACGGGGACTGGCATCACAGGTTGGCTGACTTTCTCCTTTCTTATCGCACCACACCGTCCACTTCTACAGGGAGAAGTCCAGCTGAACTTCGTTGGGGGCGCCAACTTACTACTAGACTTGACCGGTTGCATCCGGACAGACTGCCTTCATCTACCTCACATCCTAGGGCACCTAGACAACTACTTGTGGGTGCCCCGGTTTGGGCTCGCAATTACGGGCCTGGTCATACATGGGTCCCCGCTTCTGTGTCCAGGATCACAGGTCCTCTCTCCTACGAGGTTGCCCTGGACAACGGTCGTGTCCTGCGTCGGCACATCGACCAACTTCGCTCTAGGCGAGACTTTTCTGCTGAGACTCCTGGGTCTTTTCCAGGGGGGGAGGGGGACCCTTTGGAGCAAAGGGAAGGGCACGAGCTGCTGCCCATCTCCACTGAGGGAGCCACAAACGGCCCATCCCAGGGTTCCGCGAGAGCTCCGAACAGGAATTCCATGAGCTTACCTAACTACCAGGCATCCACGCCTACTCCAGCCAGGGAGTCACCCCGGGGGCATACTCACTTTCCACACACATCACACAGCACTCCAGCAACGGAGGATACCCGGGGGCATCCCAACAAATCATTCCCCGCAAGAGAACTGGCACACAATTCCCAAGGTTGGCCTGACCTTACCCCAAATCCTACAGGGGGTCAAACATACACAGAGTTAGTCGAGGAACCAAGTCCCGACTACAACAACCCTAGCACAAATCAGGGAACACCTGAGTTTTGGGAAAGTACAGAAACCCACACGAGCCCGAACACAGAATGGGGTTCAGGGAATGGACAGCCTCCTGACAGGTCTTGGACTGACCTAGGAGGTTCTACAGAGACGCCCAGCAGCGGCTATCACTTCAAGGGGCCTGAGGGTCTACAGCTAGGTAGGTCAACCAGGTCACAAAGTAACAGAAGCCCTGGCCTGACGAGCCCGGTGGGCAAGCAAGCAGGCCAGGCATCGGGGCACAGTCCTTGGAAGACACCAGGACACAATAGAGAGAACAGGCTCACGCCTCCCTCCAGTCAGGGGACTTATGCCAGTAATCCACAGCTAAGAAGGTCACAGAGAGCAAAGAAATCTCCCAAGTACCTAGAAGACTACATAACATTGCTGGCAAGGCAAAGGCCAGTAAACAGTGGGAGCACTGGGGAGCAAAATGTCATATAAAATAAATGTTGTATGTTGGTAGTAGTTTTAGCCCGGGGGAAAGGGGTGTTATGTCCCGAGCCTTTGCAAACGGCTCGGGCGTTTGCAGGCAGTCCCGGGCAGGTGCAAAGCTGCCCGGGACCAGACAGGCTGTCGCCAGCGCCGTGCGCATGCGCGGGTGCTGGCGCGGGAAAAGTAACCCATTTACCCGGGAGTTGCCTATATCAGAGGCTGCGAGGCGTTGGGCGAGGCTGAAGCCATCTTCCTGTAAGCTGAACGCTGAATAAAAGAAACTGAGAACTCCAGCTGCTTCTCGTGTCTGTTTTCCCGCCAAGGACGCAACACTTAGCAACTATAGATTTTCTCCATGACAATCTTGTCCCTAACCAGGTCTTTCATCACACACTCACCATTACTGTAACTGAGTCCATTCGTCTTGCTTCTGGTTGTCTTCCTCTTTTCTTCTACCTTTCACATAAGGGCTTCTCCAGAGCACATAAGGGCTTCTCCAGATAACTAGGCCCTCAAATATTGTATAGGGTAATTTGTGCCTGGTTATTTGTGCCTTGAATGAGAACTCTGGGTTGATTTGTTTGATGAGTCATCAATTTGTTTTCTTGACTGTCCACGTATTCTCAGGAGTCTTTTCTAATACCAAAGTTCAAAGCGATCAATACTTTTTCTATTTTTCTTCTTCAAAGTTCAACTTTCACTTCTATAGCTTGTCACAGAAAATGCCATGGCTTGCATTGTTCTGATCTTTGTAGAGATAGACACATCGTAGTATTTGAAGATTTTTTCCAAGGCCTTTATGCCTGCTTTACCAAATGCTAGTCTGTGACATATTTCTTGACTACTTGTTCTTTTATACTGTTGATAGTTGATCCTAAATTGGCAATATCTTCATTGCCAGTTCTAAGACTGATTGTTCTACCTGTTGTCATTAGTTTGGACTTCTTTATATTTAAAGAAAACCCTCTTTTTTCACTGTGCTCCTTGATTTTTATTATTTGATCTTGCTGATCTTTTGCTTTTCTGGCTATAGGTAAAAGAACCATTTGCTTTTTCTTTCTCTAGTTTTAAAACCATAATCATCTTCTAATTGAGCTTCCTTGCATATATATTCAGCAGGTGAGCTAAATAAATAAGAAGAGAGTATACACCCTTGTCACACTCCTTTTCTAACCCGGAGGCAGTCTGTTTTGCTATATTCTGTCTGTTTTTCATGAGGACAATGAGATATTCTGGGAATCCTATTTTTCTGAGCACATTCCATAACTTGACATGATTGACACAATCAAAAATTGTTCTATAATGAATGAAGCACATTGTGACTTCTTTTTGTTGTTTTTTGGTCTTCTCGGTTACCCATGTACATCAGCAATAATGTCTCATGTTCTGTGGTCTTTTTTAAATTCAGTTTGATCACCTTTCTCTTTCTTCATATAGGGCTCTAATCTGCATATACGTGTGTGTGCATGTAAGCCAGTTTCACTTAATAACCATGTTACTAACTTAACTGCAGTAATTCACTTAACAACTGTGGCAAGAAAAGGATGTAAAATGGGGCAAAACTCACTTAACAACAGTCTTCCTTAGCTACAGAAAGTTTGGACTCAATTATGGTCATAAATCGAGAACTTCCTGTATACAGAACCAGTCTTTTCACATAACTTATATAGTTTGGGCTATGTGTTCTATTATGTCTCACAATGACCTTATCCAGAATTGTCTTTCATAATTGAATATATTCCAGTTTCAGTTAGACCATATTTATCTAAAATAATTTTATTTAGAAACAAGTATGCATTTTATTTTCTTAATTATTCAATGTTAATGTTTCTTCTCATGGGAAGTAAAAAAGAATTCAGATTTAATAAGTATAGTTCTGTCTGTGTTATAGAGAAAACTACTTTACTTGCAATGGATACTGAGACAGAAGTGGTTAATTGCTTATCAAAGTAACAGTTCACACCTAATTACCTTTTCCTTGGCTCTGAGTTGGTCAAACATTTCCTGGATCTCAATTTTCCAATCTTCTTGCAGGGAATGAAATGATTCTTTTGGCATTTCAAAGAAACCAGACTCTTCTATATTAGTTAGTTTATTCAAAATATTTGCAAAAGATGGTCTTGAATGAAGATCGGTATTCCAACAATCTAAACAGGACAAAACCAACAATCACTCTAATTCAGAAGTTACAATAGTATAGTATTTGTCAGGCTTTGCTAATAAACTAGGCACTTAATTACTAACATTCCACTTAATCATCTCAGTTCCCATTTCATACTCAAATGTCCTCTTTTGTTGGAATATGTGTATAATGGCATGTGAGATGACCTTGGGAGAAGGGGAAGAGGTGATGCCTAAGGAATGAGCAGATAAGAGAGGACATAGCCTGTAGCTACATAACAGGCAAAGAAACTCCCTGACTTCTCAGGCTGTAAAAAAGAAGGCAGGAGGCTTGTATTATCAGACTTGAAAGATTCTGTTACTATAGTCTTATTAAGTTATCTGGTTGTATTTTCTGTCTGATCTACCTGGGAAGGCTGACATCAATTTTGCAAGGGAGGTTCCTTCCTGAGTTTCTTTCTGTGCCCATTACGTAGCTGTAGGTTATATTCCATCTTATGTAATGGAATGTATGTGTGGGAGACCTTGGGGAATGAGAGGAGGAGATGCTGCTGTCTTGGAAACAAGCAGGCAAGAGAGGCAGCAGCCCCCAGTGGCTTAATGTTCAGAGAAAGAAATTTAGGAAGGACCCACCCTAATGCATCAAGCAATTAAAAGTGATGGAAGGAAATTGCACCTTCAGACTTGCGAGATTGATGTCAGCCCTCCCAGATAATCCAGACAGGAAATAGGACTAGATGAACTAATTCTACTTTTTTTTTAATAAATATTTTATTAGATTTTATATAGGTAAGGAAAGGGTAGGATCAATACAGGTATACGGGGAATGGGAAAAGGAATTTGGGGTAGGATGAGGGTAGGTACAATAATGGGGTAATCCCCCATAATAATCCCAAGATTTAACAAACAAGCTACCGTCCAGATCTAAATATTGAATAAACATAATTTATATAATACTAAACAGTTGTAAAGATAAAATTAACTATAATCACGTAACTAAAATTTGATGAATAAGTAAAATTCCTCTAAATAGATATTCATACTTAATAACTTATCAATTAATTCTAATCATCACCATTAATATTTAAAGTCACTAGTAATAAAGATGTTATTAATCTAACAAAATAGAACTTAATTAAAAGTCTATCATTTATTCTATTCAATTTTAAAATTCAATTCAGTTTTAAGCTCGGTTCATGTTCTAACGTGTTTCTAACTATCGATAAATTTTTTCCCAAGTTTTAAAATAAACTGATTCTTCTTTCTCCTTCATCTCCAAAGTTAATCTGTCCATTTCTGCACAGTCTAAGATTTTTGAAATTATAGCCTGGTCAGGTGGTAGATTTTCATTTTTCCAAAATTGGGCAAATACCATTCTTGCAGCTGTTAATACATGTAATATTAAATAGTCTGAGTACAGTACTGCAGGCCACTTTAGCTGACTGTGTTCAGCAGGTCAGCGGTTCAAATCTCACCGGCTCAAGGTTGACTCAGCCTTCCATCCTTCCGGGGTAGGTAAAATGAGGACCCAGATTGTTGGGGGCAATGTAAATATATATATACATTGCTTACTGGTGTATACCGCTTAGAGAGTGCTTGCACTTAAATTGGTATATAAGTCTCATAAATAAATAAATAAAAATAAATAGCTAGATCTTACTATTCCTAGCAAAAACAATTCCGGTTTAATTTCTATCTGTACTTTCGTCATCTTTTCCAGCCATCTATGAATCTTAAGCCAATATTTCTTTGCATTAGGGCATATCTACCAGGCATGGTAATAAGTGCCTAAGTTTTGTTTACATTTCCAGCAAGTATTTGATACATTTTTAAACATTTTCGCTAATCGAGCTGGTATCATATGCCATCTATAAAACATCTTATATAAATTTTCTTTATATGTTGCTGCTTTAGTAAGTTTAATATTTTTATCCCAAAGTTTTTGCCAATCTTCTAAGTCTATAGAGTATCCAAAATTCTTTGCTCATGTTATCATTATTTCTTTTACTTGTTCTTCTTCCATTTTCCATCTTAGCAGACATTTATAAAGTTTCTTAATCAAGTTCTCATCTGTTTTCAAGAGTATTTTATCAAGTGGAGTCTGCTCTTTGTAAAATCCCATTGATTTTATATCTTTTTCATATCTTATTTGAATTTGCAAATAGGACCACCATGTTAACTCAATACCTTGTTGTTGAAGAGTTGGCCTGTCTTTAAGTTTTCCATCTTTATCCAAGATATCTTTATAGCTAACAAGTTTATCATAGTTAATCAAGTTCGGATAAGCAAATGCTTCCATTGTTGAGAGCCACTCATGTATTTTCATGTACATTTTGTGTCTAATTCTCTCCCATTCTGAAAGCAATATGTTTCTTATGGCATGATTTTGAAAATATTTATGTGCTTTAGTTTTCTCATACCATTAAAAAGCATGCCAACCTAATTAGAGGTCATGTCCCTCTAAGTAAAGAAGTCATTTATTTCTCAGTGTAATCCATTCTTTAAGCCAAAGCAAAATAGCTGCTTGATAATAAAGTCTCCAATCCGGAAGTCCAAAGCCCCCTCTGTCTTTGGATTCTTGTAAAAATTTACATTTAATTCTTGCTTTCTTTCTTTGCCATATAAATCTTAGTATTATTGCATTTAAATCATCAAAAAAATTCTTGCTCAATTTAACAGGGATTGTTTGAAAGAGAAAAATTAACTTTGGTAAAATGTTCATCTTAACCGTCGCTATTCTTCCTAGCAGTGATAATTGAAGATTTTCCCACTTTTCCAAATCTACTTTTATTTGTTTTATTAATCTCTCATAGTTGACCTCTTTTAGTGTTGTATATTTTGCAGTTAGGTAAATACCTAGGTATTTGACTTTTTTAGCTATTTGAAGATTTGTCTTTTTGGCAAGTTGAGTTTTCTGTTTATCAGTTAAGTTTTTTGTTAAAACTTTAGTCTTTTCCCTATTTATTTTCAGTCCAACCACTTCCCCAAATTCCTCAATTTTCTGCAAACGTTTAGGAGCTGTTTCCAGTGGCTCCTCTAAAATAAAGACCAAATCATCCGCAAAAGCCTGTAATTTATATTTCTGGTCTTTAATCTCTAAACCTTTAATTTCCTTGTCTTGTCTAATATTTCTAGCCAATACCTCCAATGTAAGAATAAATTAAATAAATTATTGTAAAGCTTCATTAACAAACTCTTGCTAGTCTGCTCACTAGTATTTCAAAGAGGCCTAGTAAATCACAATTTTATTCAGCTATTAAATACTCACATTTTATCTGCTGTATTTTACATTTAATAAATGCTACTGTTTTCTGTTTAATTGTGATTTACCATTGTTTTATGTTGCTGGAAATCTTTTTGGATACTTTAAATCAGGAGTCGCCAACCTTTCTGGGTTGGCGGCCCAGTGGGAAAGGGAGGGGCAGGCACCTTTATGCGCACATGAGCACACACATGAGCAAACGTGGCTGCATGCATGTGTGCATGAATGGGGCCATGAGCATGCGCCCTCCACAAATAGGGTTGCAACGCGGGTGCGCAGCATGCAGCTCAGCTGACGCCGCTAAGAGGCTCACAGCTCACCTAGTGCCAGTGACAGGCTCATGGCTCAGCTAGCGCTAGTGAGAGGCTCACAGCTCATAGCTCGACTAGCGCCAGTGAGAGACTCGCAGCTCAGCTAGTGCCAGCCAGAGATTCGCAGCTCGGCTGGCACCGGTTTAAAATACTGGGACCCAATTTGGTATCAAGGTACAAATATACAAACCATTTTAACAAAAAAATGGTTTAATTTGGTTCAGGATGAAAATATTTCTTTTGCTTTTATTATATAGGCTAAAATATGAGATAATGGAAAAAGGTCACGCTTAACAGCTGAGTGCATCTGAGTAGGTAAGGAACACAATTAAAATGAAAGCTTTTTTAAATAAGATAATTAGTTTCATCTTTACCGAGATGCATTAGAAGAAAAATGTCTAAAATGCTACTATACAGTTCTTCATTTATTAAAAAAAAGTTAAATAGACTATTTGAATTTTTAAAAAAATCAGGCTACCTCTAATCTCAAACCATAGGGTTTCAGCAACTAAAAATGGATATTACTAAGACATCAGTGTCAAGTGATCAATATTTCACTATTTCCCCAAGGTTTCTAAAATAGAACAAGATGTGCTTTATGCTTTATGAAACCTGCAATAGAATAAACCATGAATTATTTCTATCCTATCATTGCACATCAGCATTGATGTTTTAGTAATATATATATAAACAGCAAAGTCAATGGGGGGAAGGGAGCCAGATTCGCTTAATGACTGCATGCTTCACTTAACAATTGTGGCAAAAAAGGTCATAAAATGGGGCAAAACTCACAACAACTTTCTTGCTTAGCCTCAGAAATTTTGGGCTCAACTGTAAGTCAAGGACTCCCATATGATATACAATTGCCATATAATTCTAGTTTATATGTTCATAGATATAAGCAGAAGTATGACTCTTCTAAAAAGAGGAAAAGCAACTGACATACTGCCTACTCCCTATTTCTCAAGTACCTGCACAAGCGGTTTATGGTCTTGGTTATTAAAATCAGCAGATATTCAGAGTTATCTTTGTGTAAAAAAGCATTCTGACAGATCCAGTTTGTTCAACACATTCTTACCTTCCATCAGTCTGGCAAAAGGTTCTGGGCATGTTGAAGGAATAGGAAGGGAAAGTTTATTCATAGCAACACCGTATGCTACTGCTAGGCCATCAATTCCTCGAAATGGTACTTCCCCAGTTAATAGTTCCCAAAGCAATACCCCAAAACTATGAATACAAACAGAAGTTGAATAACTAATGTAGTATACGTTCTTTAGCACAATATTCTGGAATCATTGTTTTCTTATATATATATATATATATAAGAAAGATATATATATATATATATGTATAATGTTCCAATGCAATCAAGATAATGTACACATGAAAAAAACGTAAATGGGGATAAGTGAATGGGATTGCTTTCAGTTAGCTCTATTATGAATGTAACATTTAAAAATATGTTTATCTGGAAGAATTTTTAGACGATTTTATGTCATTTAAGACAGATAGTGATATGACTACTCTAAAGAAGATGTTTTCATTGTCTGAAGAATTCTGTGAATATAGTTTTTTTTCAGTTGCATTACAATTTTAGCTCAATCTAAGACCCCTGTTGCCCACTTATTTCAATGGAGCACCACTTATGGAAACCACAAGTCTCACAAGTGATCTAAGCCACTCCTTCACCCCTATCTTGGGATTATAGTTAACATCATACCTGAAACCTGGCTCAGGACTTTCCAAAGAAAAGCATTCCCCTTAGTATCCAGCCTGGTTTCAGTAATGTGTACCAGGTCAGATTTCTCATGAACAGGTTTTAATTAAAGACAGATATGGCAGAGCCCCGTTAAAAACAGATCTGTGAATACAGCATGTTCTTGGATACATGCTGGATGGATCAAGCAGTTAAAAGTAGTAAGGAAAACTTTTTTTCATGCAGCAATCCACTTTACAACATAAACCAAGCAAAATTTAGAAAATTGGAAATGTCACGTTTATTACAATATTTTGATTGCAAGCTTTAATACATTTAAAACAGAACAATCAGTTATTGATGGTTTGTCTACAATTCATGTTCAACAGGAAGTAGAGGCTGAAAAATTTCAGCTATGCTGAAATGTATGTATGCAAATTTAGAATAAAGTCTGCAAAATGAATATGTGAATTTCATAACCCAGACCAGATATACATACCATTAACCTAAGGTTTGGAAAATCAACAATTGAGTGTTCAATGCAGCAAGAATATAATATTACAGATGGTGATCACTTATAAAAATGTTTTAGTGTTAATAAACATACCTCCACACATCACTGCCTTTAGAGAACATAGAGGAACGGATAACTTCAGGAGCCATCCAAGCATATGTTCCAGCTGCACTCATTTTAGTAGTCTTATGCCATTCTCTGGCCAAGCCAAAATCAGTGATCTTCAAATTTTTGTTGCTCAGGTCTCCATGTTCTACTTTTTCAAGGATCAATACTAGAACATAATGGGGGGAGGGGAGAAAAAAGAGTTAATATATAGTCAGTGAAGATACATATGTACTTGATTCTCCCATTAGAAAGTCACCATTACAAATGTCTAAAGATTCACTGAGACTAACCTATATTGATCCTGATAAGCAAATAGATTACTCAAAACTAAGTGTCAAGTATCAGAATAACACCTATCTATGTTTAAACCAGTGGTTCTCAACCTTTTTAATGCTGCGACCCCCAACTGGTCGTAAGTCGAGGACTACTCAACTGGTCGTAAGTCGAGGACTACTCAACTGGTGCAGCACCGTTTGCAGAATGGGACTTTTGGCGGGCTCAGCAGGGCAGAGACAGCCTGGACAATTCCTATTGGCTTTTGAAAGCCAATAGAATTAGACTCTATTCAAGAGAGTCTCTTGGCTTTCAAAAGCCAATAGAATAAAAGGGAGCAGCACAGCTAAGGAAAAGGGGAAAAAAATGGCGGACTGCGTTGTTTGGTGACCCCCGTGAAATGGTCATTCGACCCCAAATGGGGTCCCGACCCACAGATTGAGAACCACTGGTTTAAACTAAAAAAGTTAATGCAGAGATGAAAGCATACTGTAGAATGTATACTAAAGCAATTGAACATTGCAGACTTTTGCCAACCTTATGTGTTAAATGTAGTTATCAAAGTTAATTTTAAAGACACGTAATTTTGAAAGATCATTAAGAAAAGACATTGTACTTTGTTTTCAAAGAGCTACAGAGCCAAACTCTCCTACCTAAATCTATTGACTTTCCATACAAAGTCACATTCACCTTAGGTCAGTCTTGATCAATCATTTTTTATGAGATAAATGCTGACATGTAAAACATTTCACTTAGTGGTTAAATCGGCAAACAGTGTTATAAAAAAGGAGCACTTCATAAATTTCATTTATTCCAAATTTCCTTCTGTAACTTTCTGTACCCAAATTATATAAAATGTAAAATATTCGTAAAATGTTTAGAGTCTCTTGATAAGCAAGAATTAGCTAAGTGAAATTGTTTTACCAGAGACATATTTCATTTTAAGAACAGTTCTAATGGTAAGTGTAGTGGAGAAGGTTTATGTTGAAGAATCAAGTGAAGGTGGTGCTTTTAACTGGCATTCCTAAATACATGTATGCATGTATGCATGTGTGTATTTATGTAAGTATGAATGTATGCATTTCATAATACAGACATAATACATAATACATTTCATAATACAGACATAATACATAATTGCTTAATTATGGTATTGTGATCATAAAGCACAATGTAACATGATTGTATTGCTTAGTGTCAACAAACCTGGCACTCCCAGTACCCACTGTTAAATGAGGATTGCAAATTATTAAGTGAGTCCTGGTGGCTTGCAAGCAGGCCAGGAGGCAGGTAAGGCCTGGGACGAGGGGCGGCATAAGCATGGTAGGCCTGGGGGTGGCTACTGCCAGATGGCAGACGGTGGAAGTTACTGATCAGAATGACTTGTGACCGGGGTAATCGTGTAACTATGGGATGCAAATGGCAATCATGTAATTATGGGATGCTGTAACCCAGATGGTAAACATGTGACCACTGCAATACCAGAATGGCTGGAATTCTGAGGACCAGTCATAAGTATTACTTGTTCAGCAGTCATAACTTTGAATGGTTGCTAAACAAATGGGCACTAAAGGAGGATTACCTATATTTATCATCTGCCCTAATCACAAAGAACCCTGGCTAGCACACAAGTTTATAAACAAACAAAAAGAAAGTAATAACACAACAGCAACATCTGTGATAGTTTTTTATGATTTTCCAGACAAAAGCATGTTAGTACAATTTTCCTCTTAACTGTTTTTAAAAGATCAGTAATATCACAGCTATCTAAATGTCTGGGGTAAAGATGTTCCACTAGTGGATGCTACAATTGGTACCCTCTTTCGCGTTAAGAATGCAGAATAACAGAGTTGGAAGGGACCTTAGAGGTCTTCTAGTCCAACCCCCTGCTCACGCAGGAAACCCTATACCATTTCAGACAAATGGTTGTTCAAACTCTTCTTAAAAACTTCCAGCATGGGAGCATTCACAACTTCTGGAGGCAAGTTGTTCCACTGGTTAATCGTTCTAATTGTCAGGAAATTTCTCTTTAGTTCTAGGTTGCTTCTCTCCTTGATTAGTTTCCATCCACTGCTTCTTTTTCGACCTCCAGATGTTTTGGAAAATAGGTTGACCCCCTCTTCTTTATGGTAGCCCTTCAAATATTGAAACACTGCTATCATGTCATCTCTAGTCCTTGACTAGACATAGCCAATTCCTGCAACTAAATCTATTTCTGGCTCTGATGGTGTCCATTCAATTCATATAAAACGGATGCATAGGTATATCTTCAAAACTTTTTAGATGTACCCCTGCCTCTGTGTTTTAATCAGACAAATATCACAGTTATTCCTAAATCAAGCAGGGACTACTGTATGTTCTAATTATACAACTATTTCCTGGATTACAGATTACAGAGCATTGTTTCTACAGAACTATTACGTTTCAGACAGAAAGGATCAGATCCTTAAATGATGTTTTTGCTTTAATTCAATATACATAAGACACATCAGTTAAAATTTCTTTGGAAACTGAAAAAGCCTTTGATATAATTTAAATGTTTTGAATCAATATGATCCATACATAAATCTTGAGTAATTATTAACACTGTAATTTCACTTTAAATTTATGTTGAAGTATGAATGAAATGTGACCTTTTTCTCTTTATTTTGGTTTTATAACTCCTGGCTTTTAATTAGAAATAGTGCACAAGATGTTATCATGTGCTGATATTTTATGTTTGATAGATAGACCAAAATGTTTTATTTTTAGCTTTACGTCATGAATTCCTAAGTGTGAAATCCAGATTGGTTACTTTGTTAATTGGATTAATTCAAACATGCTGCACATGTATATTTTTTTAAAAAAAATAAGAATAAAAGTGACTTTTTTTCTCCTTGATATCAGATTTTCCAAGAGTCATTTCAATAGGTAAAACTGAACTATCCTTATTCTGATGTAAATGAAAGAAGTTTTAAAGATCTAGAATTCCTTTGAGTATTTTGTAAACTAAAATATGTTTAAGATGAATTTATTTTCAAGATTTATTTCTATTTTTAGATTCCTGTCCACATTTAACCCATCACATTACTTTTATCTACATAATTTATCTACATATATTACAATTATCTCATGAGAGCAAAGGATTTATCTTCCTATGTTTTCAGATTCAACATTAGCTTAGCCTCAATTACTGAAGGAATTTTCTGATAACACCAGAAAAGGAAGGTATACAATAATAATTCATTAATTTGTATGCCATCCAAGTGTCCAACTCTCAATGATTCTGAATGACTCACAATGATCAAGCAAAGAACTGCAATAAAATAAAATATAAAAAAATAAAAATAAAATATGGCATGCATGATGAAGCAAGGAATCTTACTCTTCATGCCTCTTCTAAACCACACTGAGGGGGAACCAACCAAATTATTCCTGAGAAAAGGTGCTGCTACAGAGAAAGTGCACTTTCAGGATCCTGATAGGTGACATTTTAAAATCAAAACAACCAACTCTGTGGGATGAAACTGTCTGGAACAATGCTATTGGATACAGATGGTCCTGCAAGTTATCAGGCCCTATGTCTTGTAGAGCTTTATAGGAAACAACCAGCATGTTGAATTGCACTTGGAAATAAACTGGCAACCATACTTGTGAAGCACAGGTGGTACATGGGCATACTGAGGGGTGCTCGTTACTGCTCATGATGCCACACTCTGAGCAGTTTAATGCTTCCAGGTGGTCTTCAAGGGCAGCCGATCTTGAGCGCACTGCAGTAGCTGAGCTAAAAGGTAACTAGGGTATGAGTGATTATCTGAAAGCCCCCCCCCCCGCCAATCTAGCAAAGGGTGTATTTGATGTACCTAACTGAGGTATGCAAAGGCCTTCCTGGCCACTGTTGACAGTTGCTCTTTGCGCAAGAGCTGTAAATCCAGGAAGATACTCAAAGAGCACAGCAATCTTGAAGGGGAAAGTACTTTCCCATCTAAGGTCAACCTCCAGATCTGGGTGCCCAAACACTCACAGCCATTCAGTCTTGTTAGGATAGAAATCAGAGGCAGTTTCCCCTGCATCATCCAAATCTGGTCAGCCTCCGAGCACTGGGATGGCATCTTGACAGCCTCATTTATATTGCCGGTTTAAGATATAATTGGGTATCATCAGCATACCATAATTGTATTGAATTTCAATTCAATAAGATCACAAGTCTACAGAAATAATTTAATTGAAAAGTTAAAAGTATAATTACAAAAATTAAAAATAAATCTAACTAATATGGAAAAAATATGTGACACTGAAAAAAATTGTATCACTCTTGCAGGATCCAATCTGGGTCTGTCACTGGGTCATTCACATTCCGTTAGAGAGAAGTTCCCTGAGGATGGGCTCCAGCATGGATCTGAAAGCTAAACTTCTGGTCTTGGTGATCGACCCAGATTGGATCCTGCAACAAATATCTTAGGACACGTATATTTGCCTTCATTCGTGTATCACTCTTGTCATTGCCAATAACATCCAAGTAAGGAAGAACAATTCATTTCCCTCTAGTCTGTCGTAAGCACTAAAGCAGTGGTTCTCAACCTTTTTAATGCCACGACCCCCAACCGGTCGTAAGTCGAGGACTACTCAACTGGTGCAGCACCATTTGCAGAATGGGACTTTTGGCAGGCTCAGCAGGGCAGAGACAGCCTGGACAATTCCTATTGGCTTTTGAAAGCCAATAGAATTAGACTCTGTTCAAGAGAGTCTATTTTATTGGCTTTCAAAAGCCAATAGAATAAAAGGGAGTAGCACAGCTAAGGAAAAGGGGGAAAAAATGGCGGACTGCGTTGTTTGGCGACCCCCGTGAAATGGTCGTTCCATCCCAAATGGGGTCCCGACCCACAGGTTGAGAACCACTGCACTAAAGGTTTCCCTTTGTGTTACAGTACAAACAACTTGGTAAATGTGGTAAACAAAAGTGACAGAAAATAGTTCAGTCAGCAAAATTTCAAGACAGAGGAGGAATTGTTAGCAGAAGTGTTAAATTGAAAAAAAGAGGGGGGTTCTGGTTTTATTTCTATTTTTGTTTAATCATTTTCTTAGAGAGAGTGAAATTTCTCTATTCATCATTTCTACATACAAGTTTATAGACTTGGAAATTTGTTTTCTAACATTTCTTTGGTGCTATCCATCTGGTGATGACATAGGTCAGAGCTTTTCAACCAGTGGTATGGGTACCATCTGTGGTACATTGGCACCTGGCAGGTAGTATGCGACCATCCTAGAAAAGTGGTAGTGGGGGAGGGGAATGAGCTGAACCAGCGCAGCACCGCACAAGCCTGAGCGAGAGATGGCTGGAGCTGCAGGCTGTCAGGGCACAGCGGAAGCGCCAGGATCAGTGCCGCTTTCCAGCTGATCGGCGCTTCTTTGGGGCTGTGAGGGCTCAGTGGAAGTGCCAGGATCAGCACCAGGCTCCAGCTGGAGCTCGGCACTGATCCTGGTGCTTCTGCTGAGCCCTGAAGAAGCACCAATCAGCTGGAAAGTAGCACTGATCCTAGCACTTCTGCTTCTGCTGAGCCCAAAAGAAGCGCCGATCAGCTGAAATGTTGCAGCATCTCCAGGGTCTTGTGATTTACATACAGATACTTGGCAACTGATTCATATTTATGATGGTCACAGTGTCCCAGGGTCATGTGAAGTGACCAAAACCTGCTGCAACCACCCAGCAGACGGGGGGAATAAAAAACAAACACCCCCACTCCACCCCCGCTGCAATCCTCAACAGAAATGTTCACAACAATGAACACCTTGGACAGGAGGAAGAGCGCCACCGGGGGGCAGGCAGGTGTCTTGCTCGGCTATGGCTTGGGGGTCACTTTTTCAGTGCCATTGTAACTTCGAACGGTCACTAAGCAAACTGTTGTAAGTCGAGGACTACCTGTACTTTATCACTTTTTTCCTTTTGGGGGGGGGTCATCAAGTTTTTGGCACCTTGCTAGGCGACTGGTGATACTAGGATATTGCCATATCTTAAAAGTGGCACAATGGGTGAAAAAGTTGAAAAACCCTGACATAGGTGATCTCACAACTTTTAAATACTATTTTATGCCCAATATTCCTGAAAGTTACTGGCATTTCATTCCAAATTTCCACTTACTATTGCTGGACTTCAGATCCCGGTGGATAATAGGAACAATTGCTTCCTCATGGAGATAGTTCATTCCTTCAGCAATCTGGACAGCCCAGTTCACCAGAATGTCTGGTGGAATCCTTTTACCAGAAAGCACTCTATTTAATGAGCCTCCACGGGCAAACTCCATTATCAGGCAAAGGTTTGGTTCCTTTAAACATACACCTTTAAGGGCAATTATGTTGGGATGTTTTAGCATAGCAAAGAGCTTGGCTTCTTGATGGACATTCTCAATGGCTTCACTGATGTCTTCATCTGGATCATAGCGAGCTGCCTTGACAGCAACTTCCTTTCCAAACCAAATTGCACGGTAAACTTTCCCAAAACCTCCTATGCCAATAATTTCCTCCAGAATAAGCTCTGAGAAGTCAATCTCCAGCACTAGGATACAAAATGAAAATATCTAAGTTCCACAAAGATGATTTAAGACAGTAATTACTATCAGCACCATTCATTTACTGATACGATTTAACCTTGACTTTTTTTAGATAAGGGACTGCTGAAATACTTACCTAGTGGAAATATGAGTCAGCTCATTTTGCACCCTTACCACTGCTAGAAATACTCAGAAAAAAATATATTAAATCAATATTGTGAATGTGACTGAAAAAGGCAGATTTAATTTAAATCAAATATAACTGAATCATTGCTCAGAAAAACATATTTTAATCATTAAAATCACAATTTAAATTACTTCCCAGGAAGATGTTTTATATCATCATGTTCTAATAAGACTGCAATATTGTATCTGAAGAATGAAGATTTTATTATGGGTAAACATTTCATTTTAAAAGGTAGATGCATTTCTTGCCAATCTTCCTGATCTTTAGTTAGTGCCTTAAGATCTATGGCTTTAATCTCAGAGTTTTCAGTAATGACAATGCAGGTTGTGGATTCTGGACACTGAAATCCACCCAACTGAGGGAAGACAAGTTAGGGAAAAGTGGACTATGCATTAAGAAACAATTGCTTATACTGTTTTTTTCTGACTAATTTTAATTAGTTGCCCTGCTTCTGAAGGACGAATGCAGTAACAAAACAGTAAGACAAAGGCCATTCTTTTGAAAACAGCAAATTCCACATTTTGGCAGAGAGGACCGCTGGTTTGAAAGAGGGGTCAAAGAGACCATCTACATTAAGATTGAACAACTTTCTCTCAACAGAGGGGGAGGAGTACGACACTACCTATCTCCTGTTTACAACACAGTCCTTTCAGCAGTTCCAAGAAGGTTCTATAGCCATTTGCACTATTCAGGTGACCCCCGAGGGCACAGATTAACTCCAAGTGGCCTCAACGACTCTCACAAACAACGCTAGCAACCAGATGATTGTAAGGAATATAAATCCTTCCATTCTCCACCATTCATTCAGAAATCTACCTTCTAAAACATGTTTTTTGTTATAAGCTATCCTTCATAAAAGTATTCAGATCAATTTTCAGGAAAGAACAGAGCCCAGAACAAGGGCTTTTCCTTTGCTATTGATCATATATTCCAACTCTGCACTGAAAACTTTCTGCAATAATACTGATGTGAACTTATTTCACACTCATTCTTTATGTGTATTGCATTCATCCTAAAGAATTATGCTAACACAACAATATACTGTATGCCACTGTTAAGTATCAGCTTAATAGTGTCATATAGTATATTCTTGTGTTAAAAGAGATTATCAAGGTTCCCTATTACCCTTTCAATATAAGAAGCATATTGAAATATGAAACACTTTTTAAAAGCTTTAAGATAGGCCAGCCATTCTCTCTTATCTCAACTTACCTCACAAGAGTGCTTTGTGGAGAAATTAGGAAGAGGAAGGAGTATTAGGTGAAGGCAATAGTATTAAGAACAGTCTATTTATATTTTACTTTTCCCTATTACAAAGGCTCAAGGCAGCTTATATTTTAAAGCCACAGTTGCATGTCTGGGTTATACAACTGTATTGTACTCCTCATGGACAAACCTCTGCAAACCTATAAACAGGAGCCCAGTCATAACACAACAGAGTCATATCAGCTGCATTGGTTTTCAGTGTGTTTCCAATCTAAATTTTAAGGGCCACTTCTTACCTTCAAAATCTAAATACTTTAGCTGATGCTCAGATACCTGAATTATTTTTCTCTGCACAAATTTACTCATATGCTAATGTCACCAGGAGAGGCTATGCCATGTAAGATGGGACACATGATTGGATACTGATGACAATAAAGTTGTATGAAGAAGCTTGCTAACTGAGAGCTCAGTTTTCCATGTAATACATGTGTGAGCATCAGGAAGGGGAAGTTCATCATACTGGTGATAAGGAAGATATCTTATGGCAGTGGTGGCAAACCTATGGCATGGGTGCCAGAGGCGGCACTCAGAGCCCTCTCTGTGGGCACGCGCACCGTCAACCCAGTCCTAGGCCTTCAGCTGGGTTTTATAAAATCTTTTTGCTTTAGGCCGTGTGCAAAAAAAAAAAAAAAAAAAGGTTCAATCAGTCAATTTCAACTTCTTGCAGGAAAAAAAAGATCTTGCAAAGTTGGAATTGATTGATTGAACTTTTTAGTCCTACCCAGTCTGCCGTTACCACCGCAGCCATGCCCACCAATTGGCCACACCCACCCAATTGGCCACACCCACCCAGCACTCAACGATGCATAAGTGGGTTTTGGGTTGCAGTTTGGGCACCCAGTCTCTAAAAGGTTCGCCATCACTGTCTTATGGCATCATTTGCTTTGAGATATAGCATTATAATATTTGTACGTTGTTCTACTTTTCTGGCTGATAGCCTTCAATTAATACTGTAATTCCACCACAAAAAGAATATATTCTTGATTTTTCATAGGAATTTTATAAACATACAAATAATAAAGACTACAGGCTGCTGTTCAAATTATGCTCCAAATAATTCCAAGGAAGTCTAAAAGCATGTACTATTATTTATTCAATTCGATTTATATAGTTCCATCTTACATACAGGACTTTGGGGCACCAACTATTAAAATAGGATAAAAACAGAATAAAAATACTGCCATGAAATATAAACATAAATAACATAAAAATAGCCACTGAGAAACTCATAGCAAATTTCCTTTTGTATTCACTTGCTGGAATTGAAAAATACCAATTTTAAGCATAAGATCAATTTTGAAAAGTAAAAATAAAAAATACAATTTAAGATGATTAATGTACAAGGCCTATATTATATCGTTGACACTGAAGTATTGAAAGATTGGCCAATAATTTTCCTAATAACTTTTACTGAAATGTTGTTACAATGACAAGAAGTAAACACTGCTTTTGAAAGCCAATACCAGTCATCTTGTTCACCTCAATTTGGATTCTTGGACAAGCAGTGTGATGACCAATTTGCTGAGGACAAATGATTTAAAGAATGATTTAGCCAAATTTATAAGAGAAGTAGACAAATTCACTTACAACTGACAATGAAAATATAAAAGTGAAAGGTAGCTTCTGTATTTAGAATCATCTATTTATAGTAAAGGAACCAGCAATCAAGAAATATGCTAGTTGTATTAATATTAACTCCCAAAATTCAAGTAGTTATTAAAGAAGGGCAGCATATTAGTTACTACAATTCATGCAGTCCATCTAATGAAGCTCTATCTATCACTATTGAAATATCAATGAATAAAAGCAAAAAATAGCATTCTGAAAAACTTTAGAAGTCCAAATAGTCATATGAATTTAATGTTAAAAGACATTGAACTAGGAAACGTCTTTAGCAACTGAAATAATAAGTTAGGATCTTTAAGTTTAACTTCAGTAGAAAAAAGAAACAGCTGAAACTATAGTTCTGAATTCTCTATTTAAACAGCTTAAACATGCTCAAACTTCCTGCATATTTTTACTAATTAATGAAATTTTTCATTTCATTTAAAATTATTGTTGTTTTCAGTAATGTATCATAGGACATAAGGATACTTTAATTTTATGAACAGAAAGTTGAGGTTCTGAATTAATGGTGCTGAATGGACAGCTCCTTTGGTGATAACATAAAACATTTGCTAAACTTCTCAACAGCAACCTGAAGCATACGTTTTTTGTAGACTAAAAAACTTTTAATGATTACCATAATTTATAAATGATACAGGATTTTTTAAAAGGTTAAGAGAAGAGCTATGTATATATTGTATATACACACAGAGAGATGTACATTTGGCTTTATGCCAAATAATCTCTGTATGGTTAAACTAAATTCTCCAGCTTTGATTATTTAACTGTGTTTTCTGTTGATTATATTACTAGGTTACAGATCTAAACTTTTGTGTAGTCAAAAAGAATTGGTAACCAAATACATATTTCTGAGTAGACGTTTGACTGTATTTCTGTGTATGAAAAGAACAGCACGATTATACTGCATCAGTCAGTGTAGAAATATTGTTTAAACATAAAAAGGGGCTTACGGGTCATTATTTATGAAACTTAGCTTCTATTTTTTATTTCATATTATGCATTTTTATTGTTTTTAATCTATTTGCTTGTAAGCCATCCAAAGTTGTCTATGTGAGGTGGATGCTATATAAATAAAAATCTTGTAACTTAACTTTTGTCAGTTGCAATCAGATCAATTTTACATATGTAAGAACTGAATAGCTACAATTGAAAATAGATGGTTTTGTATCATTGGAAAGTGCCGCATATAAGATTCTATTTTTCCCTAACACATTACCAAATATAATACTACTACTAAATGGTCTCAAAGCAACACTGTGCATATTCTTTCCCACAGAAAAATAAAGGGACAAAGAAGAAGAACTAAGTTCGTTTATTGCTGCTTTCTTTAAGACAAGATGGATCTCAAAACCAAAATGAGGCAGCAGTGTCAAAATTACTGTAGTTTCCTTTTTTCAGATTATTTACTATTCCCTTTTGAGGTGGATATAAGTTTCCCAAATATTGTATTTTTAATCTCTACTCTCTCTTGAAAATGTTTAAGCTGTAAGAATGAAATAATTTGCAAAATTAGAATTTCAAAAGGACAGAAAAATGCCAGGTCTAACATTCTTTTTCAAACATCTTGATTTTGGCAATAAAGTATAACAGTAATCCAAAAATATTGACTATTCCACACAAGACAAGCTAACAGTTTGTACTGAATTTTGCACGGTTAACACATTTCAGTTGTGGCCACTTGTTTACAAGGAAATACTACAAAAGTAGTCTGATAGAAAACATCTTGGAACAAAAATCTAGATGAAAAACCTAAATGCCCTCTGCTGAAGTTTTTAAGCAGAGAAAAGCAAAAAACTGAACAGTTCATGTGTTGAGGCAGTAAGATCAGAGGAAAAAGAAGGGAAAACTACAGAAGCTTTGGCAGTTGGGACAAACCACTCAAACACAAGAAGCTTTATATCTTTTTAGCAAGAACTACTGAAATATCCTCATCATGTATCAAATTAATGAGCACAGGAAAATCATCTTGCTAATTTGTAGTAAAATTTAATTACATCTTTTATAATGACTTCAGCATAAATTATCTTTATTAAATAACTATTAAAATAGCTACAAAAAAGCATGTGGAACTGAACTAGGTTATTATTAAGATTTAAACAAATTGGGCATAAAGAGTATGGAAGGTATAGAGGAAGAAAAAAATGACCCATAAGAGCACCGATGATGTTACCTAGTTTGGGTAATGAAACGTCTGCAAGATAACAACCAAGCTTAGAGACTACCAAGTTTCCTTCAAAAAAAAATGACCCATTTAACAATGAAAAATGTTTCTCTCCTGACACAATTACACTCGTACAGTTATTATTCTTTATTAAACTAGTATACCATCTGACACTGCAACGCTGGTTGTTATTCTTGAGTGCAGAGTTTTCAGAGATGCAAGTTATACAGTAAAATGTAATTAGGTTGAATTATATGACTTAGATTAAAGCAGTGGGGCATTGGATTATTTTACCTAGAATACATAACAAGAGGATGGGGAAGAATGCACAATTCTCCGAGTTTACTGGTGTTCGGATCAAGAAAGAGGATAAAGGGGTGGGGGGAGTGGTAAACATCAATGGAATAAAATATAGCCACACCCCTTCCTCCTCCGGAAGTGTCTGATTGTCTTCTGCAAAACGTAAGCAAAATCACGTCTTTGCAGTCTCATTAAGATGGGAGAAATGCCATCCCTGGATGAAGTTTCCAGACACGAGTCAAGTGGGTCACATTCCTACCGAACTGACAAAGCATGCAGCCTACACGCACGACCAGTCTACCCTCGGCAAACTTCTTCAGCACAAGACAAACCCTTCCCGTGTCATAGCGCTGACCGGCAAAACGGGCTTCCCAGTGGTCGTCTGTATAGGCTTATGCACTGAAAAAGTAGGGGGGGGTTCAGCCTCTCCCCAGGAGCCCCAACATTCATAGGCATTAAACCCGGCGTTTAGCAGCGGAGGCATCTTCCTGAACCGCCCCCCCCCCTTCCCGGGCCCGCGCCTTCCCTTCTTACACTGGATGGCCGGACTAGCAGGGTACGAGGCCTGGAGATCCGATCTCCTCCCTTCCTGGAGGCAGAGGCGGCGGCCGCTGCTGCTGCCCGCGCTGCTGGTCACATAGTTGCTGGGGAAGATGCCGACGCGCTGGTCAATCTGGCCCGTCCACCAGCCTTCGTCGCCAGAGACCTGCGAGTCCCTCGAGAGCACCTGTACTACGTCGCCGGGACGCAGGCTCAGCTCGTCCTCGCCGCACGCCTCGTACTCGAAGACCGCCGTCCAGAGGCCGGCCCCGTCAGCGCTGTCGCCCGAGGCTGCTGCTTCCGCCTTCCCCCAAGCGGGGCTGGCCGCCGCCGCCGCCGCCTCCCCTTCAGCCTCCCCCGGCAGCGGGGGCTGAAGGGGGCTGCGCGGGAGGAGAGGAGGAAGACGGAACGGCTCCTCCATTAGGGGGCAGGGCTGCCCGCGGGGAAAGCTGCCTATTGCTCATGCGGCTGCCGGCTCCCGATCAACCCTTGAGGGAACGCCGAGGCCGGAGCCGCGCCACAGCCCTCCGTGGAGAAGAGACGCCGCCCAGCAGCCCCTCCACAGCCACATCGCGCTCAGCCAGGGCCGCCGACCGCACATCCTAAGCCACCTGATTGACCCGCAAGCTTGGAAAAGGAGAGGGAGGAGCGTCCAGAAAACTCCGCCTCCCCGACCGGTCATCCCTGGGCTCCCATTCGCTGTTACAACAGTCCTTCAAACTTCTCCCTTACCTGATTGAAGATCGGCGGCGCTTTAACGGCATCCTACTTCCCCGTACCTCTCCGCCTCCCCCCCCTTTTTTTTTTCTCAGCTGTCTCGCACGCGCTTTAAGTCGTCCTTCCTATTGGGCGGCTCCGCAACGTTCCCTTGGATCGGACTGAGCGGGAGCTCAAGTCCTGCCGTTGCTAGGTGAGAAGACTGCCTTTTGCCTTCAGCGCGAGTTCATTGCTTGCGAATGAATAGGCGTGGATCAAGGGAGGGAAACGGGTCTCCTTATCCTGATTAATTACGGGGTTCTCCAGTTCTACTGTGTAGGATTCGGAAGTGCCAGTTGTGCCTGCTAGACATGCAGAATGGCCTTATGTTGGGCATCTTTTTTTTCCTTCAAAGCAGCCTTTTAGCTCTGTCCCTTCCCCGTTTCTGGCAACTAGGTGGGATTACCCTGCTTTTAAAGAAACTAGTTACAAAATTGAGCTAACTAATTTTTGAGCTAATTGCACCTGTCAGTGTATTTCCAAGGCCACTTTATAGTGCTATAATTTAAAAGCAAAGTCTCGTCATTAGTATTCTCTGGATGCAATTCAGTTGTATTACCATCACTAGAAAAAACATATAAGCTTTGTAGCAAATGTAAATAGAGAAATGGATCCTAATAAAAATGTGGTTTTTGGTTTATTCAAATCAGTTTTCTGAGTTCTGCTATTTACCTTTCCTAGCAAGCTACTTCAATAATCTTAAATACAAGCAAGATTGCTGCCTTGCTAATACTAGCATGGCATTTCAAGCCAAGGTAGCAATTTGTTTCCTGAAGTAGGAAAATAATGATTGTTCAAGTTTAGATCATTTCAGTGGAACATTTTTCTATGTTGCTAACTGTGCCTTGTTAGCTTGTGAGTAAATTATGGCATATCTTTCATGTTGAACAAATCAACCAAGTATATGTTGATCAGTAAATCATGATTAAGGTACCATGGCTTAGTATCACAAATAACTTTAAATTCCTGTTAGATGAGTCACATGGTAGAGAAATGGGACTGAAAAACACAGAGAAAAACAGTGAGTGATTCTGTTTGCATAGCACTAAATGACAATTCAGGCACATATTAGCTTTTTATTTCAATCCTACTGATCTTCATGATTAATTGTATTATATTAATCTGGAAGAATCAATAAACAGCGGATGAATGTAACAGTGGGTGACAAAACCAGAGAAAAAATATGGTACTGAAAACCCATGACCCATTCACTTATGGATGTAATAATACTGTTGAAGTTTATTTACTATTACTGAAACAAAACTACACTTGTTTCCAACATACATGTATTGCAGCTGGCATTGTCTTAATCCATGATTTATTAAAACATTGTTTACTGGATTAACCCCAAAGCATTGACACACAGATTGATCCAAAAATAACTGTTCTTCCTGACTTTACATAACACACTGAACTAGCAATTAACTACATTGTAGTTTAGCATGTGTGCAACACAGTAATTATGTTTGTAAATTTTATAAGTCACCTTTTATTCTAAGTGCAAATATCTGGAGCTTTCTCATTCATTTTATAAAAACTGTTCTGTTAGTGTTAGACTGTAATCAGATATCATCCATTATTTTAACAGTATATTTTGATTCTAATTCATGCTGGCTTCTATAATATGTTCAATGATTATATCCACTGTGGGGGAATTTGCACGCGCAGCAAACTGCCATGCTTTCCCCCCCACAAACCTCCCAAGGAAGCAGCCAAAAGATCACCCCCTTTTGACTTAATATCTTACCTACCTAAATAATAAGTTCCCCCTTATCTCTTCCTGTCTTTATCTCTTCTTGTCTTTATCAGTTCTTTCTCCTTTTCTAATTTACCTGTATTTGTTTTACCTGCTCTCAACAAGTAATGTATTACTAGAAAATAATTGCTTATATGAAGGAATTTTTCAATTACTTTATGTCAACAACTAAAGGTTAAACTTCTAAATGTAAAATGTCAGCAGTTAATGGCAAAGCCTATGTTTGTAAAAAGTATATAAGAAGGAATAAACTCAGAGTTTGTCAAGCTGTATCCTGCAGCTTCAAACCTCTGCTCAAGACATGCCTGTGTCGACTTCCGGTGGATTTTGCGTGCGTGATGGCGGCTACTTTGTAGCCGTCCTCCTGGGTAAGTGTAAGAACCGCTATGAACAGCAGATATCAGCTGTTCAGCGGTTCAAAATCCCCCTCCCGGGCAAAGGGGGGGGGGTAGAGAGTGTCTGAATAGTGGTAGAGCCTCTTTCGCACCCCCCAAGTTTTTTTTTTTGGGGGGGTGAAAGGAGTGCTCCCACGGAGTTCAGACTTGTCTCCGCTTCCCAGCTGTTTTTGTCCTCAGGGACAAAACGAGCCGCCGCAAACACCTCCGTGCTTAAAGAGAACTGGTGAGTTTTTTTTTTTTAAATGGACAGAGCTGAGTAGAGGATTTAGTTTTTGCTTTCTTTGACTTATTTGGATTTTAAGTTTTAAGATTTGTTTCTATTTTTATTCTCTCTTTTTATTTTTTTTCTTTGTTGAAAGGGAAAGTAAAATGGCGATCGGCAAACTCCTCGGTGTTTTTTTTTTCTGGAAGTTAGAATGCTGACCGGCAGGCTTTTTGGTGTTTTTCTTTCTTTCCTTTCCCTTTCTCTTTTTATTTCCTTATGATTGGAATGGTTGTTTTTGGTATCTCTAAGTATTTTTTTTGGAACGGACTTTTTTTATTTAATTATTATTATTTTTTTTTCCTTCTCCCTTTTTTTTTCCTTTGAATTCCCTTTTTTTTTATTGTAATGACCTTTTTTTGAAGGACTTTTTTTCTGTTTAATTTTTTGTAATTTTTAAGAAGGAGTAAAACTTTTTTTTAATTCTTTTTCTCTTCCTTTTTTTCCCTTTTTTCTTTTTATTATAATGACCTTCTTTGGAGGGAGTTATGATTTTTGAAGGAATTTTTATAATTTCTTAAGAAGGACTAAAGGTTTTTCTTTAAGATGGCTCCAAAGCGTCCAGGGATTTCTACAGTTTCTAAATCAACAGTTTCACCCTCTTCTGGGGGTCAGCTAATAACTATGAAGGACTTGCAAGACATGATGGGAGATGTTATAATTCAAATTAGGGCAGAAATGAAAAAGATTTTAGAGGAAAACAATAAGATCTTGAGACAAGATTTTGTTTTGGCTTTAGAAGGTGTTGCTTCTGTTCTTGAAAAGGTGAACTCCCATGTGGAAGAGGTAGCTGAAAAAGTGGACATAATGGAGGGGAAAATTGAAAGTATGGAAAAAGAAATGGAAAATGAGATTCTTATGCTTCAATATGGACAAATGGAATATGCCTTAAGAATTAGAGGCCTGGGAGAGTCTTTGCAAGGAGATCTGAAGGAGATGGTTGCAAAGGACTTTGCATTGATTTTGAATAAAGAAAAAGAGGGAATACTTAATGAAATTGAAAAATTATTTAGGGTTAACTCTGTGGTGGCAGCACAGAAGAATCTGCCAAGAGATGTGGTAATTTACTTTGGTAAAAGATCTTTACGCAATGAAATTGTGCAAGCCTATTATAAGAAGAGATTTCAAATTGCTTCACAAGATGTTATAATTTTTAAAGAGATCCCATCTAAAATTTTAAGAAGAAGAAAGGAGTTTGCTTTTTTAGCAAATGAACTTAAAAAGAGAAAAATTTCATTCAGATGGGATGTTCCGATTGGAATGGTGGTGAATTACCTGGGGACATGTTATAGACTTAATACTGTTTCTCAAGCAAAAGATTTTTATACTTCGGTCCTGGGGGTATGTGCATCGCCATCAATTAAGTTTAAAGCTTTGGAAGAAAAGAATGTAGAATCACAGTTTGAAGAGCCTATATTTATGAAAACTGGAGAATCTTTGTGTGAGAGGCCTCAACAAGTCCAGGTTGAGGAGCAGAAGACAACTTGTGCAGTATATAATCCCAAAGAAAAGCAGCAACAGAAGAAGGTTAAGGAAGTTTCATATTTAGTGGTTTCTGAATCTCTGGGAGATGTTAGACCTACAAAGTCTTTGGAGCAATCTTTAAGGGTGGAATTGTTGCCTGAAATGGAAACTGGGAAATCTCAGTCTGAGGGGCATCAACAAGAGAGGAACGGGCAGAGGATAACTTGTACAACTTACAATTGTAAAGATCAATACAAGGAGGAATTTAAGGAACCCTTATTGGCTTCGGAGTCGATGGGAGATTCAGGAATTTTGGAGCAGTCTCCTAAGGCAGAACTTGCAGCATTTCTTACGAGTTTGATACAAGAATGGAGAAGGGAAATGGAAGAATGGAAGAATGGAGAATGGAAAAAACTGGAATGTGAATAATTAATAATACTAATATAATTGAGATTGATAAGGATGTAGTTTTTTACGGATGGAATTAGTTATTGGTGAAGATTGAAATGTTTAATGTGTTTATTAACTTTGTTGTTTTAAGTTTTGAACCTTTAATGATAATATTGTTTAAATTTGTGTTTTGAAGGGATTATAATTTGCTTATTTTAGTGAGTGGATTCTAATGTTTTAAATTTTAAAAATTTGTGGTTTTGGAGGGAGTTTATATAGAGTGATGATTGTATTTAGATTTGTTTAGGATTTAAAAGTGTTTTTAGTTTTTAAATATTATTATTAATATTTTTAAGACAAAATAATTTGTTTAATTAAATGTGCTTAGATTTGTTTAGGACTTATAGGTTTTTTAAGTTTTTGTTTTTTTTTTTTTTCTTTTTGGATAGGAGAGAAGATTATGAAGATTGAAGGAAATATGTACTTACTTTAAGTTCTTTAAGAGTATTTAGCTTTAATGGTATAACAAAGATTTGTATGTTTATTTTTTCGTTTTAGGATAAAGAAAGAGGGAGAAATTAGATTTTATATTATAGATATAGATATTCAAAGAAAGTAATGTTTAAATTTGTGTTTTTGGAGGGAGCTTATATAGAATGATGATTGTATTTAAATTTGTTTAGGTTTTAAAAGTGTTTTAAGTTTTTTTTTTTTTTTTTAATTAAGCCTGTACTCAGCTCTGGGAAGTCCAGGGGAGGGTTTGGGAGGTTGGGAAGGGGGGGGTGAGGTAGGGGGGGGTATGGGAAGGGGATTTGTTTTTGTAAAAAAATAAAAAAATAAAAAAAAAAAAAAAAAAAAAAAAAAAGACATGCCTGTGTCTTTTTCTTAGCATCCTACAATCCACCAAAAGAAATTGCAGTAATGACAAAATAGATTTTCCTGTCTCTGACAACCTCCAGATGGCAGGATAAAGCAGTATACTTATCCTGCCTGTCTTATCTTGAGGTACAGCTGTGTGTGTCAGCAATGTGCCAATAAGATCTATCCAAATGGATAAATGGTGGTTCCCAACAGCAGGACTGAATTCTGTGGTACCCATTCTACTCCAGAGTGGGAGATCAGATCTTAAGCTTGATCATTCTTCCTCTACAATTTCACGATTTCTATTACATTCCAAATCTCATAAAATCTAATCATATTCATAAACTTAACTATATTTCATATATAGTTATTTAATATTTACAGTTAAATAAGTTTTGAAAAACATTACTGAACATGAAATTATATTTTTCCTCTCATTCTAATAGATTTGGGGGCCAAACCAGAAGCAACTTGGATATCTTGTGCTTTACAAAATGTACCTTCCTTAACTTTAAGCAAAAAGAGGAGACAAACT